CGGCGGCGTAACGGCGTAACGGCCCCGCCGCCTGCCCCTCGGCGGTGCGGGACGGGCGGAAGCCGTATAGGTTCCCTCAGAGTCATCAGGAGCCAGGAAGTGCCCCAAAGCCTGAGATGAGGCAGAAAAACCACTCTGTTCTGTCCTTCTTCTTCCGTTACTGCCAGCTGTCCCAAACGACCAGCCCTGGAGTCGGGCCTGAGGATGTAGCGGGTTTCCCCATTGCTCTCCAAATGAACTACTGTGTTTTAAGATATATCATTTTAAATATTTTTGCTGTTTGGATGTGTGTTGACATAGTGTTTCATAGTGGTTGTATATATGTCTTTTTTTTTTCTTTTTAAATGCAAACAGGCAGTTATGCAGCCTGTTACAAAGGTATAACTTTTATCCTGTGAATAAGGTAGGGTAGCATAGGGCCTTAAACTTAAAAATAAGCTTGATCTTATATTTTTCAGAGAGCTGTTCTCTGTTTCCTTGAAATTCAGGTGCTTAGCATGCACTCAGATAACATCTGTACTCTTCCTAAAAAAGTCTAATTGAAAGAACATAGTATATAATCTTTAAATAAAAATAGTTCTGCATTCTGTCCTGGCTTTATGAGCCTCAGAAAGGGTATTCTGTTCATTTAAAATTAAACTCAGAATACTTTAGAAAGTGAATATAAGTTTGCACTGTGAAGCGTAGCTTTGTTTTGCTACTTACCTTTAGGTTGGGTAGTAGGAACAATCTAGTTGGTTTCAGTCCTTAAGCTAATACGCTAGGAAAAGATGCATTAGAATACAGTTTGTTGCTTATGTCTTTTTACAACTGTAGATCTAAAATTGTGTAATATCTCCCTGACATGGCGTATAGAGTATGCACTGAAGTCAACTGAGGAGCGAGTGCTGTTTTTAAGAGCACACAGTATGGTGAAAGATCATAATAAAGAGCTGTTGCCTGTTATGCAAGCTTGCTGTGACTAAGCAAATGTAGCACAGTTATCATTTGACATCAGAAATAAGTGAAATGAGAAATGACTGAGAATAGTGGCTGACAGGTGGCATGTCTGTGACAAGTGGAGTACTACTGAGGTGTATGCTGGGACCTGTCCTCTTTATTGTCTTTATCAAGACATGGAGGAGGTGGCAGACTACACTGTCTTCAGGTTTGCAGGTCACAAAGTGTGGGATGCAGCTGGTGTGCTCAAGGGCAGGGCTGCCATCCAGGGGGATCCAGAGAGACTGTAGGAATGGATTGTTGAAAGCCTTATGAAGTTCAGCAAGGACAAATGCAAAGTCCTGTGCTTGAGAAGGAAGAGCCCTCTACTGATGTACAAACTGGAGACTACCTGGCTGGAGAGCAGCTCTACTGAAAGTCCCTGGGGATCTTGATGGACAGCATGCTGAACATAAGCCAGGAGTGTGCCAACAGCATGCTGGGCTATATGAACGGGGAAGTGCTTGTCCTCCTTTACTCAGCACTCATGGGTCAGGGAGGTCATGCAGCCTCCATCCTTGGAGGATGTTCGAGATCCAACGGGATAAAGCCCTGAGCAGTCAGGTTTGACGTCAGAGCTGACCCTGCTTTGAGCAGGAAGTTGGAGGAGAAAACTCCTGAAATCCCTTCCAACCTGAATTATTCTCTTAGTCGTGATTTTACATGCAAATCTGGACAATAGTTTATTGAATCCAGAGATTATGTAACCTATAAACTAGATGTTTATAGGTTACGTGGGTTCTTCACTCATGGTAGTGTATTTAGTAATGGTTCTAACCTTGCAAGTCTCAGTTTCAGCCATCGTAAGATACTTAATGACAGACTGTAAGAATTTACTTAGTGATATGCATCGTTGCAGTTACTCTAGCTTTGGGCATCCTATGAACTGCTAGTCTAGTTCAGCTGCAGCAATCACTGATAAGGGTGATCTTACTTCAAGAGCCCTCTTCTAAAAATTCTGCTGTGGTGTAGGACTCATATGTCAGCAGCATTGTATAGTGAAAAAAAACTACTGGGTCAATGTGGCTAGCTCAACAAAAGATTAAAAAGTCAGAAGGACTGAACAGGAGATTGTTGTATTGTTTGGGTTGGGCAATCTCTGTTGCCGTCCTGCTATACTTCTCCAAAAGTTTTTTCACTTTACTGTAATTTTTTTCCCCTCCGTTTCTGTCTTTTCATTGCATTTCTTAAATTATAGACAAAACTGGTCTTTCGGTAGGTTTAGATACATCTTGCGCACTCATCCGCAATCAGGAAAAAAGCTTCGACTCATAAGCTGCACTTTGAAAGTGAAAGAGGTACATACTGTAGATTTTCCAGACTTTCTTTGCACAAATAAAAAAAAATATTTTTAGGTGATTGAAGTAACAGATCACTTCAAATTAAAAATACTAGCACCAAGTATTTTTCTTTTTAAAAAGGTAAACTTTAAAATATATTAAACGTGTACTTAATCTTTAAATATATAGCTTCAGGATAAATATATCTGGAGGAGGAAAGAGGACTGATGTTTTTATAGCTTTCACTCCTATGCCAAACAACTGATTCTTTTGCTTTTTTTTTCAGCTTATGTGTTTTGTAGTTTTATACATGAGAGGTATATTGTAGAATGTACCACATCATGACCGCACACAACTTTTTTTTTTTTTTCATCCTGTATTGATATGGAAATCACTTAAAAATCTTTAAATAGTGGAAGCCTGACTGGTCTAATATCTGTGTTAATGTGATCAGTTACTGAAACTTGTTTTGTCTCCTTTTCAGGATTTATTTGGTGTGAGCATGGTTGTTCCGTTACTGAACCTTCATATCAAATCTTTAGGAGCAAGTCCTACTGTTGCTGGAATAATAGGTGAGTTGCAATACTTATTTTGATTGCCAAAGAGTAAGATAAAGCAAACTGGAACGTGCCTTACTGCAAATCAGATTATTGTAACGTAAATCTACCTTGTAAGTAGCGTAATAAAAAGTAATGACAAAGTTAAAGTAAAAACATAGGAACAACCATGCCGTTTTTAGACCCAAAACTCTGTCTTACCTTGCAGCCTGATAGCAGCCAAAATTAGATGCCTGGGAAATTTTGAAGAAAAAAAAAAAAGGCGTGTAGTGATACTGTTAGAGATGCTTTCCTGGCATCCAAGAACTCACAGCTTAGCAACTTTGGAAGCTAAAAGTGTTGCCTTTAGTTTTATTGTTATTTACTGACTTTGCAAACAGTACTTCTGCAGCTGTTTCTCCCCAGCTTTCTAATGCTCTTGATTGCTCCCAGTTTGATTAAATTTTTTGCAGCTTCACCATCTTTAAGGGGTTTTTACAAGTAAATTCTGAAGGCTTGGGATTTTGACTTACAGTGTGAAGTGGTAAAATGGAGCTCTATGATTCTAAGGTGCTCATTTATATCTCACAGTATAGTTTATGGTTCTTAGTGAAAGAAGTATGGTATTTTTATAGCTATGTGTGGTTGGCTTAGGCCCTGTTCCGTTTTTTATTACCCTGCTTTTTCATTTTGGATGAAATCTAGCACTTTTCATGAAATAGTTCTAGTTCTGCTCTGAGCTAACAGACTGTTATTTTAAGCAGCATTTCATCAAAAATACGTTTTCATTTCAACACTCTACTTTGATTTAAACTTTAAAAGGACCTGAGTTTTAAGGTATATTCTCATGAATGAAAGAGGCTGGCAGATGTTTCTCTGTGCTTCTCGTTTCTGTTTCTCTTCTGTCACTAACTGCTGTTAAACTCTTAGTCTCCAGAATGAAAGAAAAGGGCCTCTGGTTTCTTCAGGGCTTCTGTGATGCCTTGTAATAGAAAAGTAATTAGTGCCTCCCAGTAGAAATTATCTCTTGATTCTGACAGAGTAATTGTAGATGCCAGGATCTTTTTCACTTAATATGCCATGCAAAGCAGCATTCTTTTACGTTACATCTACAAGTTTGATCTGCAGTTGTTTCTCTTCTTTTTCGTGCCTGAAACTATTTCTGCAATTGTGTGCCGAATTCCACCCCTTTTTTGTCCTGCTTCTTCTTCCTATTCTTTTACTAAATTATTCCCAAAATTTATCTCGTTTCCTCATGTAAAATTGTGTGCAATTTACATAAGCAATTCATGCTTAATTCTTACTGTACGTATGTTACGTGTTTATTTTAGGCTCTCTCTATGGTGTAATGCAGCTCTTCTCAAGCACATTTGTGGTGAGTTTTAAAACTGCATTTATAATTATGTTGATGTTTCTGTAGATTGTATGGAAAAAAATAATGAGGTTGTACTGTTATCTTGAAAATTTGAAAGTGTTCTTAGTGTTTATACAAGCCTTTTTGATTGGAGGACACAGTTTTTATTCTGCCTGGAACTTTGTTTCAGTTATGGGAACAGTCAGATCATTCACATTATTACTGAATAAGCACAGTCTTTAGACAAAAAAAAACAGAATCCAGGTGTGGAATTGGCTATAGGTTACTGAGCACATCCCAGTCACACAGGATTCTCTTTAACATTGTTGCTATTAAAGCAGTTCTCTTCAACACAGTAGCCTGTCCAAAAAGTAGTCTCACCAATCAGTTCTTCATAAGCCTGTTATCTGGAGTTTACTTTCCCTGCTTCATGACTTGTAAGTTGCTGTATGGCCTTGCTTCGTGCAACATGTTTTCCAAATTTGTTTGGTTTTATTTTCTATTAGCTTTTTTACCTCCTAATCTAAGCAAGAGTGCAAAGACAGAACATCAAGGTCAAATTCCTGAATTTTTACTGATGAATATCTTAAATGTCTGTATTTTAGCCAGGAGCACCTTTAAGTTAACCCGGGTACATCTTAGCTCTCAGTAAAACAGATTTTGAGCATCTCCCCAAAAGAATGAGGGTTTGTTGTGCAGATCACCTGAGATAATTTGCTTTTATAAGCCTTGTGACATTTTCTTTGAACTGCAAAACCGTTGCCTACTTTCTTAAGAAACCTACTTCCTCTGTATTTCCTACAGTAAATTCAGCTGATTTATAAATATGTTGCATGCAAATTTACTATTGGCACTTCTTATAACTACTTCCTACTTGTCTGCTCTCAGACGACAAACTTCTTATAGCTAAGACTCTTCCTTTTGGGATGCTTAACAAGTGTCTTGTACGCAGCAGCCATTGTTGCAAAGAAATAATATTTGTGTATGGTTGTGATAACGCTTTCATTGGGCCACTACTAATAATATTTCATGGTGTTTATCACAGCATTATATTTTTAAAAGGGAGAAATTAAATAAAGTTTTGCCTGTGCATGACGTTAAATAGAATCATAGTTTCAGCAGGTGTACTGCCTGCAGGACAGAACTCCACTCTTCATTTCCAGACTGTGAGCCCTTAGGAAAGGTACCTGATAAACTCATAAAGTTTTAATTGACAGCCCTTTGATGATCTTTTTTCTCAATCTAGTTTAGATGTACAGATTGTTCACAGTAGATAGTTAAATGTTATAAAAAGCTCTAATCTCCTGCTTTGTCAAGGGCTGCTGGAGTGATGTAGTAGGAAGACGGTACTCCTTGCTTGCTTGCATTCTTCTCAGTGCACTGGGTTACTTTCTTCTTGGAACATCCACGACTGTGTTCCTGTTTGCTTTTTCTAGAGTCCCTGTAGGTGAGTAAGACTTGGTATTTTGGGGCTTAAATTCCCTGTAGCCTCAGCGTGAGAATTACTATTGGAGAAATTTGTGGCATGTGGATAGGTAAACAGATCATTCAGTGGTACCAGCTGAACCCCAATAATGGAAAAGTGTCTGCAAATTAAACCTTCTTATGTTTTTTCTGAAAATAGTTTGAAATGTATACTCAAATTGTCATAACTTTTATGCTACCTTAAATAGTTGAATTACATAAGAATGTGAATACAGCAGTTGCTTGAAAGAGGCTATTGTAAGGTTAGTCATAAGAGCTATCCAATATACCTGGTCACGGCTGAAAATCTTGGCCTATATTTGCAATACAACATGGAACGTCTGCATTATTGCTTTTCTCATACTGAGAACGCACTTAAAAGTGATAATATAAAATTTGGTTGAACCTTTAGGTCACTACTGCAATAGATTGTTTACGTTGTGCAAAAGCATATATGTTTTTATGACTGAAGCTAAGTTTGTGTTGATGTTCATACCCGAATTTTATAATAGTTGAATAGTTATTATATGTATTCTGATATAATAAGAATTACTGTTACTGTGAACCCTTCTGTTGAAGGGCACTAAAATGGCCGATGGTCTTGATTTCGGAACTATTCTTTCTTTTGGGGTTTTATTTATTGTTTCTTAATTTAAAGAAAATTTGCTAATGAATGATTTGATTGATTAGTTAGTAGGAGTAATGTTTTTTAATTTTAATGGCAGCAGACCGTGACAGCATTGCCTTGGTCAGGAAGGAACATAAATGATTGCATAATTAGTATCCTGCAGAACGCTTACATTTCTGCCACCCACCAGTCTCTCATATGAACTTGTTATGTTGCAATTCTGAAAATGTCGCTATACGCAGCAAAGCTGGCACAGGGATGTGTTTGTAATCAGAGAAGCCATTCCTACTCTACCACTACCCACTCACAGGACCCCATTTTTTGGAGACTACTTTATTCCTAGCGAGACCCAGCACTCAGAATAGTTACTTATTCCTTTAGCAGAGCTGCAGGAGCGCTCCTTTGACAAAAGATGCCTGGTCAGTTTTAATGCCGAGGTCCAAGTCTTTGAATAGCCAGAGAAGTCATGGCCCGATATACAGCTTATTCAGCGTTTCTCATCCATCGCATACTCGTGCATAACTCCAATATTGAATGATTTGTGTTTTATGGAATAGTCTAAAATACTAATCATACAGAGTTTGAACACTGATATCCCAGGCAGCTGCTGTCATTTGCAATTCTCCTGGATTGAGCAAAGCATGTTTTTTTTTTTTTTTTAATATATTACTTTGCAGGTATTTTCAAGCATACTCTCTCCATTTCTAAAGCCCTGCTTTCTGACTTGGTTTCTGAGAGAGACCGTCCTCTAGTCATAGGACGCTTCAATGCAGCCTCTAGTGTGGGCTTCATACTGGGTCCTGTGGTTGGTGGCTACTTTACAGAGCTGGAAGGTGGCTTTTATCAAGCAGCTTTCATCTGTGCTTCTATCTTCATTCTGAATGCTGGTAAGTTGCATGTTACATTTTTTTATCCCTGGTCCCTTTCCTTTGCACTTTTGGGTATTTATACCATCTGTAGTACCTTGAATTCACTGGTGTCTTTTATGATCTGTGACATATGTGTTTTATAAAGTGATACTACACTTTGAATTTGAACCTATGTGGAAGGGTGGGAATTTTGAAGCTGTTAACTTCCAGATGCTCCTTCTTTATGTTGCATATACCACTTTTTACATTCAGACAAAGATTTTTTTTGTGTATGAGTCCAAATACGAAAACTAGAAATCAGAATTTTTGCTATGGTTCTTAGATCTGTTTTTATGTTGTGAGTATGTTGCCTCAGTGTTCTCCTTCCTTGCTTTTGCCACATTTAAAATTGAACTAATACTGTGAAGAACACTAGACTTTGTTTGGTTTTTTTGGTAAAATGAATGTTAAAATCCTTTTATTTTTGTGTCTATGCTAAGATTGCTGTAACAAAAAACTAATGTTGAAATGTGTAAAATTAATGCAATTGAATGAAATTAAATAATTCCCTTATCCATATAGGTCTTGTCTGGATGTTACCATGGACTGAAGAAAACAAACGCAGTAGTGAATGTGGCAGCATTAGCAACAAAGTTACGGACAATTTCTCAGCAAAAGCAAATCATGATGTGCAGTTCAAATGGGTAACTGTTGGATCTATGACAAGTGGTAGTCCTCTCCAGTCTTCATGGATCCAAACCGCAACGGTGCTGAAGAGGATTAAAGGCGTTGCATGCTCTGATTTATGGGATATACTTCTAGTGCGGTTACTGATGTCTGTTGCTGTACTGCTGTACTACAGTAATTTTGGTCTGGCCTTGGAGGAGAGATTTGGGGTGAAACCCAAGTTCACTGGATATCTCTTAAGCTATAGTAATACTGTTGGAGCCCTGGCTGGTTGTCTGCTTGAGCCAATAACAAGACTGTACCGGCACAACACTTACATGATTTTGTTGCATTCCAGCATTCTTACCTGCACACTGATTCTTCTCTATTCATCAGCACTTAACATATGGACAGTCATTTTGTCTTCCACTTTCTTAGCTTTTTCGACTACTGTAGGCCGTACTTGTATCATTGATCTTGAATTGACCTTTGGTGGGAATCAGGCCAGTGGTACACTCCTAGGTGTTGGACAGTCTGTGACATCAGTGGGACGTGTAGTTGCCCCGCTCCTTTCAGGAATTGCTCAGGAGTTCAGTCCCTGTGGCCCTCCAAGTCTGGGGGCTGGACTAGCTCTGGTAGCTATTCTGATAATGAACATGAACAAACCAAAATACTGTGGCAATGGAAGTGTTAAGTTAAAAAATCAGTAGCTGCAAATTCGGATGGAATGGAATATCTTAAAGGAGAGAGAAAGTGAATTCAAGAACCTGGAGTGATGCTTACACCTGCCAGACCCATACAGTAGTAACAGAACACTTTAAGAGGGCACATCATATGTTCACATGGAAGCAAGTACATAAAAATGTTTTCTGCAGGGTTGTTACTCTGTACAGTTCTTTCTGAACTGGTGCCACTGGAACCCTTGTGAAAGAGACATTAATATATTGTGTTGAGGGTTTTGGCTTTTTAAGGATTTTTAACCTTTTGGAGGAAAAAAATGATACGAAATAGAAAAAGTCCTGCTTGAGCTCACATTTGAAGCAATGTTTACATTGATAAGTTCAGACATGAATAAGTTGATTCTTATTATTTAATTAGAGGTGTATTTTTTTTTTATTTAAACAGAAAGATTTTGCAATATAACTCATTAGCCTTTGTTTCTTATGCTGTTATGAATAAGCCATTGGTCTGCTGTGAAAGTGGCATAATTAACAGGATATTTCCGTATATGATGACATGAAGCATGCTTTGCCTGTAATACTTACTGTGCAGCATGATTAGGTGCTTTAGAGCAGCCATCTGACCCTTACTGATTCTTTCCCAGATAACAGAAGTTGAGTATGTGCTAACTTCATGTATTAGCAGGCCTAAAAAAGTTTTAAAGTAATATGGGATCTTCAGACTGAAACTGAGAACGTAAACTTTATTGAAAGTTGCACTAGTGGTTTCTGTATTAATTATGACTTCCTGACAACTTTACCATAAATATTTTTTGTATTTCCTGAGCAATTTTTCTACTTTCATTTTAAAAATGAATTTCCTTCTTAATTTTTCTGGATGACTGTTAAAGGTACGCTGGCGCAAATAGCAGTAGTTTAAAGGGGGCTTTGGATTAATGTGTTCTCTTTCGTCTTTGGAAGCATAAATGACGTCTTAGTGACAAGAGAATACTTGTTTATTTGTTGGTGTTCCAGTCATCACTTGTCCGGATGGCTTCACCAAAGAAAGATTACTCACAGAACTACAGTGAGAGTTGTAGCATTGGCTGGTTGCTATTTGTTGTTCAAACTCATATTACGCAGCAGTCATCACCGTCATTTAATTTGAAACACACAGAAAGTATATTTTGCACTAGTAACGTCAGTCCCACACGCTTTTCCTAGCGTTACTTGATGAAGGTAGAAAGTCAACTATGGAGAATGTTATTTTTTGGTAAAAGCAATGTAGTTATCTCCCTGAAGACATATGTGCAAATAATGTTGCTCTTTCAGGAGAGTCATAGATGTTTTGCAGTTTTTATTTTTGTTTTCTTCCTTTCCCTTTCAAGAGCACCTGATATAATTTAAGGTCCTTGCTGAAACTCAGTGATTCCAATGGAAGCATCATGAGAATAGATGTAACAGTTCCAGTTGTTTTAATTTTGTATATTGAGCTGATGAGTGTGTGTCTTATTACTGCTGTCATTTCAGTAGATAGCCTCATTTTGTGTGTGCTGGGTAAAGCTCACACAGAAAAAGAGTTACCTGTTCTTATAGTGTATGTTTCATTTATCCCTATGAATTTGAGGAATTTTCGAGTATTTTATGTGCCCTTGCTTTGCTTGGTAGTTGCCTCAAAGCATTCTCCATAAATTTCCTATCCTGTTCCTTTCCATGAGTTAAAATAAATATTTTTTTCCTAAAACTGCTTTCCCCCGAAACAGTGACTTCTGTTTTGCAACTACAGCAAGGAGTAAAGGAAAAATGGGGGGGGCGAAGACTGAAGATTAATTCAATATGTATGAAAGATTGAGCAAATTTTACTATCCTTGTTGGTTATATTAGGTAACAGATGCCATTTACCCTTGTAGAGTCAATGCACTGATTAAAGCTAAATTCTGTAAACACCATAAAATTCAATCTAAGCTAAACTATACAGCAGCCTGAATATTGCTTTTCTGCATATAAAACATCACTGGTTTTGTTTATGCATAATTGAAAAATATGCTATCCACAGTCAGCAAATATTTTTGTTTTATTATGTTATTTTGAAAAAGTTCTCCATATACTCTTAAATAAAAATGGAATTAAATATTTGAATTCATAAACCTGTGGAAGCCTGTGGTCTCAGGAACACATTTTAACTGATGTTACGGAAGAAAAGTTTTTACTTGTTAGCCAAAATGATTTCTGAAGTGCTGTAAAAATATTTCTTCTTGTAAAGCTACAGTTACAAAAAAGTTGCACTAAAATTGTTTTTAAAGAATAGCAATAAAATGAAATGACATTCCACTTCTGCCATTTTGTCACTGTGATTTTACCGTTTTCTCTGCTGAAACTATAGTTTCATAAAAAATAAAGTTTCCACCTGCAAGTGTGCACAAATTAAGACTTTCCCTTGCTTGCTGTTACTTTATTTTGGGGGTTGTTTTGTAGGAGGGTTTTTTACCTTTTGAAAGTTTCCTTTTTTTAAGAGTGACTACTTTTCTGACCTTTATGGTCAGCTCATGTTTAAGGGGCTGCACATACAATGCAGTAACTTCTTTCTGTAAAACAGCTGGTAGTGTATGATATGTACTCGTTTTGTGGAATAACTACTTTAAATGTTGCTTTTAAATGATTAAACAAATACAAGACTTGTGTTCCATGTTGGTGTATATTGCAAATATTCCAAGAGTTACTTTCTAAATGTGCAATTTTTGCATATTTTCGTTTCCTTTCTTGTTTTCTTTTCTCTGAATTTACTTACCACATCACCATTGTAGAGATCGGTACCGTTCTCATTTTCTGAGACTGTGTCGATCTGTGAGCAGGTAACACAGAAACAAAACAGGACAAGTGTGTGGCTTTATAATTGACTTACTGGTTACTTCAAACACTTTTTAATACCACTGTCCAACCCCCATAACAGGCTTAATGTCACAACTGTATAGAAAATCTCATTCTAGCTGACTGGAACCTCTGTGGGTATGATCACTCACTGCCAATCTCTCTTCAGTTACGGATGCTGTGGAATATACTGCGTAAGTATTTATAGCTTGGTGCTTTGGGATTTGTGAAATCCCAGACTCAGCTGTGCTGTCACTGCTATAATTTTGCAGGCTCCTTCACAAAGAGCTAATCATGAATCTTTTAAGGGAATTTATTGTAGCCTTAGCTTTGAAAATCAAGCAGTTGTGAGCGGACCTCAGATTTCTTTCTTGTAGAAACGAAAGTTTGTAGAGCTTTTTCTAAAAGAGTATCTTGAAAATATCCTGTGTTAACTTTGAAAGAGAAATGAAACCAAATTTCTAGTTATTTTTAATTCTGTATTGCCATCAAATAACTGCTTTTGAGGTGTGCTTTATAGGAATTTTCCTTTCTGTCAAGTTTTCCATTCTATCAAGTTTGTAGTAAATAGCAGGTCTCAAACAACATAAACAATAAATAAAGAAATAAAATGGGGTACTTAAAATCCCTTTTCCACGTTCTCTAGACTGTGGCCAAAAATTGCCTCTTGAAGCAGAATCTATGGCAATTGTAGTGCTATTGTAATTCATGAAACGTAAATGTAAACCTGAGCACGTTTCAGATCCCGAAACAGTGCGGCTCACCAGAGCAGCCAGTGTAACTATTACTTCCCATCCTGTGGTCTTAATCCCTGATATTCGGTCAAAACTCACAGGCTAAAAAATCTTCCAAAGCATGTCAGTGCTGTATGGGAACTGCATCAGTATTTAACTATTTGGGAGAGAAATGCTGCCAACCCAATATCCCATTGTAGCTTCCTATTAGAAGCTCTGTCTCCCACCTCTAGAAGGAATACTCCTGATGCAGAACATCCTCAAGTGGAGATGCATGGTTTCCAGGGGGAAGAATTTTCAGCCTGAACTTGGATAACTCCAGAATGCTAAGACTCCTTCAAATATTCAGAGGGGAATTAAGCAACCATGCTTTATTTTTATTATATTTGTATTTTATTTTTATTTATTTGTCTTTTTCTGGTAGCTCCCGATTTAGCTGGCTGGCTGATAAGTTAGACGAGAGAGGAAATGAAACCCTTTGACTTGAAAGTGGTGAGACAGAGCATGCTGGTTCACGTAACTGGCTCTGTCAAGCACAGCTGTAGGTTTATCTGGAAAGTACAAATTACATCATCATCTAGTAAAACATGGGAGAAAAAATGGCTTGGCTTTGGACCATTGATCTTCTTTTCTCTTCTGGAATTAAGTAGCACCTAAGTCAGGTGGGTCAGATAGTTTATGACTTCTCTCTACTATGTCCTTTAACAGTTCCTATTTCTCCAGCTTGGACTTGACCTGTCCTGCTTCATGTTTCCTGCGCTGTGCCTCCAATCTGATGTTGGCCTGGTTGTGGCTGTGTATTGCAGATGCTGTATTTTAAGTGTGTTCAGAGCATGTTTTTATAGGACCAGAGCTCCTGTAGTATAAAAAGCATTCCTCCAGCTAATTTAAAAATCCTTCTTCCACTCAGGAGCTGGGAGATGTTGGCAGAACTTAGACAACTTTGGAAATTGTGACCGGCTGAAAAACTTCTAGCAGTGCCAGCCTTAAAATGTTGCTGGTATCTGAAATCGGTGGACTTGGCATGTCTTGAAAAATCTGGCCCAGAGTACAGTGTGTTTGCTCCCAAAGATCCCAAGATACCCTTCACAACAGCTTGTATGTTATTTTGACTGAATTTTCAATTTAGTTTATTTCCCTTCATGATTCCTATGTGGCTTCAGCAGAGAAAGATTCTAAAGTTTCTAAATTGTTATGGAACATTATTACCTTTGGTTGAACACCTGTGGTTTCAGTGGAACTTGTATTACACTTTAATGAGAGTAGCACAGCCCTTAAAATTTGGTCCCTTATGTCAAATTATTCTCTTTTTCTAATACCTCCTTAAAACAGAGAGCTGGATGCCTATCTATTCTCTAGCCCATGCTATACCTACGTACTTATCCTATTTACTTTCCATCTATAGATCTCTCAGCAACTGGAGGGAGAAAAAAACTCCCAGAAATCCCTAACCCACATGCTAACATACATATTTTCTCCTATCTCATCCCTGCAATTGAGCAGCTGGGCATCGTCCTTCTCCACCAAGGCTGTAAAATAGCCATGCTACAGAGTGTGCTGGGGCAACAGAAATCTCTGTGTGCATTTGGCAAGTTTCCCAGCTACGCTGAAGAAGTGCTTTGCTGAAAAAGTGAAAATCACGTCCCCAGTCAATACATGGCTTCCACCATCAGATGGTGCTCGAGGACAGATTTATTGGGCTTCTCGTTCTCCAACAGACAGGCTCTTTCCTCGATACAAGATTAAGAAAAAATCTCCTCTGCAAGCTGAAGCAAAACGGGCCATTTAGAAGCACCTAAAAGCGCTGTTGAACTTGCTTTTCCTCTGCAGGAGAAAAAAAAATGGTAGGAAGAGACAAGCCCCAGACCCACCAGGGTAAGAGTGAGATGAGAGGGGCCAGCTGGGACACAGTCAGCTGCTGCTGTCCTTGCTATTGAAAAGGAGAACGCTCAGGAAAGTAGCTCCAGAAGGTGATGGGGGTCTGTCCAGGCATTAGCGGAAAGGAGCCTGGAAAAAGTGGTAGGAGCAGGGGTGGGCAAGTGAGAGTGCACTCACACGGAGACAGAGAGTCCCAGGAGTCTTGTGATTCTGCTTTACAGCATAATGCTGCTGGAGTCTTGCCTTGGTGCTTGTCTTCCACGGACCTTAAAGGGCTTTGAAAAGGTGATTAACTACTAGCATGTTTTGAAGCACTGAGAGCTCAGGACCAGATTTCATAAAAATGACCTCCAATTTAATGTGCCTGTGCTGTGAGGCACCCAGTTTAAATAGCAGTGGTCTGAGTATGCGCTGTTCTAGTGGACAGCAAATAAAACTGTAACGTTCCTGACACCTGCAGTCATTATTTGAAACTATGCCAATAAAACTGACCACCCTTTAAAAAAAAAAAGGCACTTTTCCCAGATACAAGCCAATTGCTTGGTCATTACCAGCGCAGGAAGGAGAAAGCTCCACAGAGGCTAAAATAAATGTTGATGTGCAATGTTTTATGTTTATTTAGTGGCCACTGATATAAAACACCTAATATAAAGAATCTGATTTGCCAGGAGGACCTGGTTCCAAAACTACAATCCAAACTTAGGGCTTCTTTCTTATTCAAACATGATTTCGATAACGCAGTAACAGCATTCACGACAGTTTTACTAATGAAATGTACGTTCTTGTTGAAAGGCAAATTCAGATTTGTTTTTAAAATTTACTGATTTTGAATCTAGTTTTATTTCCAAATAGGAGATGACCATTCATGGATCTCTAAGTATTGCCATGGTCCTTCCGCAAAAATATTTTGTTTATAATAGAGACATTGCCTCAACATGAACATTTGACTGAGATTTTCTAGGGTTCATATAGCCGTCTCTTTGAAGCTTAGAATTTGCATTTGACATATAGCAGAAATTTCCAGAGCTTGAAGAGAGGAAAAAGACTAAAACACCTGTGCTGATGGAAGAGTTTAGGAAAGTTTGACATTTCAAATAAATACAGAAAATGAATATTTCTGAATAGCTATTTAATGAGTGGAAGTCTTAATCCCTATTTATAAAACACATTTGTCAACCCTGCCTCCAACCCTTTGAAAGAAATCTACCCTGTGTTTTAAAAGGAAAATTCAATTTTTAATAGTTCTTCCAAAACAGACTTAAATAAAAAGAAAACAAATCTTATTGCCCACTGATTTAAAAATGTGCTAATCAAAAAGGAAAGTAAGTTATGATTTTCACAGTGTACATTCTTAGATGAAAGTTACGAATCTTGTAACAAGGAGAATGAAAGTGATTTCTGCATTGTGCTGAAATGCATATCTGTGCTGAAGCAAGCTCAAAACCTAGAAAAGATTAAGTGGGACAGAAAGTGCAAATTCCTGAGAGCTACAGTTAAATATCATTTATTTTAAAGCACCCTCCCTTCCCATATGCAATCAAATAACAGACATTTATACTAAGATGAAGAAAATCTGTGTTTCTTATGGGTGTTATTAAGGTGCACAGTGACTTCAACTGATTCCAGAGCCCTATTGTGCTACTTTTCTGTACAAACAAATCAGAAGGAACATTTTCATTGCAGGGAGTGGATAGCCCAGACAAAGAAAAGATTATCTCTCCCTTTTATAGATGAGGAAAAAAAAGTCAAATGTGTATACCAGAGTCACAAGCATGAGTGAACTAGCTTTCTTGAATCTCAGTAGTCAGTGACGCAACCAGGAAAGCCTGCCGGCTTTCTCTATGTGCAGTGCTCTACAGCCATCCTGCTGCTGTGTTTGCACTGCAACTGAGAAACTAAGGTGCAAAAAGCAATCTTAAATAAGAACATTATTTATCTGCTTGAAACTTTCTTTTTCAGGGCTTCTGGTGTAGTGCTAGGTACTGTCATTGGCATTAATGAAAGTCAAAGTCACTCAGATTTTCTTTGGTGATCCTCAGTACCTTTCAGAGGTTACACATTGCCAAAAATTCAAGAAGTAAAAATTCAAGATATCCAGGTCTTGTCTCTATTGCAACTCTATAAACTGTATTTGCAGTTCTGCTCCTACAGCTTGTTCCTTTTTTTCCAGTAAGAAGATACTGTTTTTCTGTGTCCCAGCTTTTCATATAAATTTGGCTTCAGGAATACATTTACTCTTCTTACAAAGTCTGTATGATAGGTGCATTGTGCAGTTTTCAGTGTTATTCTTATTAAAGCTCCGGTCAAAACAAGTATAATTTAATCATAAATAAAATCTGAAATTATATAGAATGTTTTTAAAGTTTCCCTTCATCACTGGACTTTCAACAATGGTATTCAATAGATAATTGGGTATTGAAAATGGGTAACTTTTTGTCCCAGAAAAATGATGTGATAAGGCACATTTCCATCCTATCTTAATAGTGAAAATAACGTAATTAAAGCATTGCTATAAGTTATTTATAAAAGAGATTTTTTTTTTTTTAAGTCTTCAGTTTTGCAGTTGCTCCAGTATTCCATTCATTTAGTTAACGGCATTGGCTTTACCCAAACGGAGATGCTCATATCCTCATTGAGTTCATTTTTGTTTTAATAGATCCCATTGTCTGATGAGAGAGTTTAGAATCCTAATTCGGTATGTCTGTGATTTATTACTGATAGCTCTATTTTTGATGTATTCAATAGGGCTGGTTCTCAGGCTTATTTCTCTGCCTTTCCCCTTGTGATGCCTGCCTGACTAATCGTGGTGGTGGCATAGGTCTATGGTCTGTAGTCAGATCTTCTGCAGCCAAAGTGCCAAATCTCGGTCTTGTCAGCAGCGGTTGCCTGAACCCAATGGATGGCTGAGGCTGGCCACTTGGTTCCTGGGGCGCTCCTTCGCCCTCCTGTTTCCCGTCAACTTCATTCTTCCACTCCATCCTAAACTCGGGCAATGGCCTCTGTTGTTTCTGTCTCTGGTCTCTCAAAATTTTGCCTGCTCTGGGTCTTAAATTGAGCACTGTGGTAGCAGCATCCATTTCAGAGTCACTGCTGTCACCCACTGTTAATTAAAAACAAAATTCAAATTTTAGGCACAGAATATTGCTGTCTCAGGAATATTAAAATAATAGCACACTGAACAGTAGTAGCCATACGAAACTAAAATACTTCCCTGTGTTTTCTAAATTCAGCCCTTTCTAGTTAGACTCAGTAATAAACACTTAACAGGGATAGAGGACCCTTGCCTACCCACCCCCCACCCCCCAAAAAACTGTGCTTTTTAGAAAGCTCCCACTCAGCTGCCACTCAGTCACTGAGCGACACCCTGTTTTTGCTGACATTTCCCCAAGCTCTTCAGTTCTGGCTATGACATGAAAAAACCTGACTCCATCTGAGTTCCTCGGAGTCTAGTCCCTGCTTATATCCAAGCAGAATATGAAAATGATACCCATATCCCATAAGAGGCCTAATCTGAGAGGCATTTGCAGAGCACTGAATGGTACAGGGAGTCCAGGAACTTAACTTAGAAAAAGGATCTTCAATTTGCCACCAAGCAGAGGGTCTCCCAAGGCTAATGCATGGATGGACAGAAACATCCAGTCCTTAATATATCTGAATGTAAGTTTTCAAAGAAAAATCCATAGAGCATATCTCACAGGTTGCAAGTGCTACAGATGCCTTCACCTCTCCACAGCAGGGTAGAAAGTGCCCGAGGGAAAGCTGGCATTACCATTCAGGGAATGAATTTGTAAAAGATCACTGTCAGGTAAACTGAGCTGGAAATATTCTGGATGTGTATATGCATAATATATTTTCCCTAGAAGACTTATTTAAATTGACTAACATATTCACCAAAACTTGCACACTTCAGTCATCTGATATTCATCTGAACAATCATTTATGAATGACCTACATTTGTTCTTAGACTTAAGTCAGATATGGTGTTTTAAAAGAATCGAAGTAATGAATTGTAGATTGTGCAACTGTCGTAAGAACAACTTCCATGAATAATTTACATGTTATTTCTTTTAAAAAGATGAGGAAGGGGTCAACAAAATGTATCACCATATAATTGTCCATTCACCCAGATCATTTTAGATCAAGAAAGCTCCTCTTCAGACTGTGTTGGCAGGCTTTTTTCCCCCTAAATATGTCAAATAGTATATTTTTTGACAATTTACTAATCTAGAGGCACATTTCCTTTTTCATGTTTAATTCTAGGTGACAGTAGATGACCTCTGTAGACATAGCTACAAAACAAAAGGCATCCTACATTCAGTACAGCAAAGAGGCAACTATCAACAGACAAGGACACAATCTCTTCTAAATTAATTTGGAAGAGAGGAAAACTAATCAGAGCTTGGGTGGAAGTGGGGCAGAAAAATCAAGAACTTCTAGTCATCATGCAGAGATTTAATCTTCCCAGCAGGAGACCTTGATTGTTACATGGCACGAAAGGGAATAATCCTAAGGATGGTATAAGCATGGTAAATATAAGTAAATATAATACATGGGAGTGGTCAAAATGTTCATATGAAATGGTTTTCTTCCTACAGAATTGTTTTTGTTATAAAACTCAAGAACTCCAAAATGAAACCTTTGTGAGTCTAGGCAGGAAAAAAAAAATAAATATTTTTGCTGTAATTGTGAGCATTTTGAGGAGTTCTTCATGAGATCCATAGATCAGACATCACGTCCTCATTTGTCTCTCCGGTGTGTTTCTCAGGGCACTGCCCACTACTCTGGCCCCAGGGAGAAAGGAAATCGTAATGAATCATAGAGTTATAATCCAAGAAGGAGATCTGGACATTACATAAGAAAGAAAAGGAGCATGGGTCATGACAGTATTTCTGGTGCAAAAGTGTTTCAGGCTGCTACTTGCTCACATGGCGGGATATGCTGTGTGGACTATGCCACTAGAGCACTTGAACTGCAAAAGCCACACAAGACTGCCTGCTGGGGCATTTCTCTACACTAAAATAGCTGTTCTATGCCCAGTCACTCTATAACCCGTGTTAAATATCCAACACCTAGAAATATGCTAAGAATGCCTTACCCTAAAATGTGTGCTTGCCCATAAAATGGTTAATATTTATTTGAAGATTAATATGCTGATTTCTCCACATCATCCCTAGAAAAGCTTTCCATCTACATAAGCAAGATGAGTAGCAGCACAGTAAGAGAAAGCAGAAAATGTTCCAATACCTCTAGAAGATGTTTTATTTCTTACTCGTAGTTTCTCTGGGAGTTTAGTGTTTTTAGGAAGTGAAAGAAACCTTTTTGTATTCGCAGCAGCCTGTACAAATAAATATAAGAAACATTAAGTTACAGCAGATTGAAGTACCTACAAAATGAATGTTAAGATGCACCACTGAGGACTGAAAGGGTTTATGTAGCTAAAGCTAGAGAGTAGTTTGAGATTAGCTAATGTGTGATCTTTTACTGCACACTCCATGCTTTTTTGCTGGTTGACATCTGGGCTAAGGTAAAGACAGACTAATCTCAGTCAGCTCAGTCAAAGAAAAGTATAATGATATACCCTTGGAGTTAACAGATGTATGCCCTCTAACTACAACCTGACTTGGACAGGTTTTCTGAGGTAGGCAAACACTGCAACTTTTTACGCAGCTCCAGTTTGGAGCCTTATTAGTCAGTGGCTAAAATCAGGTTGAGACTGAAGCCTGGGCACAAGAGCAAATCTGTATTCTATCCTGAAAATGCTTTATACATATAAATGACTTTATGATAGGTGACTAGCCACACTGAAGTTGATGGAAAAGTTACGCACTAGTGTGACTGCAAGTTCAGGGCATGACAGTGTAGTTTCCCTAACACTAAACTCTAAGGGCCCTGGGTACACAGCACACCTCATACTTCCTGGAACATAAGAGGTACTTTCCCAGATTGGACACTTTCTTAAAATTCAGAAATTTCACAAGGGTATCCTTTCTCATATGTATTACAAAGATTTTTTTTAAACTTTTACAATCTACCAGCTCTCCCATGCTTGCGCCATTCGCTGTTGCACGCTCAAAGGGAACATGAAAGGAAAATCCATTTTCCATGAGCTTTTTTCCCTCTTTGGGTACAGTAGTGCTGCTCAGGACCACTAAGCTTCCTTGTATGATGGATATACTTAAGGATAATTATTTTTAAAATTACAGCCTATGCAGTCTAAAAATATGTCAGACACCATGTTTCTGTCCCTGTCCCCAAAATGCCTCAATCTTGCTTCTCCGTTACTGCACCCAGTAAATCATTTATTAGTATGACAAAGAAAACATATGTATCTGTGGCTGAGAGGGAAAAAAATCATTCAGGAGCAGACCTGTTGTTGAAGTAAATGCCACAGAAGCCCAGGTAATGTTCACAAACTAGATACAACGCTTACTGGACATGTCATTCCAACCTCAGCCTTCAAAGGACAACTGTATCAGTGAAGGTAGCAGTCATTAAGGAATCTTGCAACATGAAAATACGTATTTATAAGATGGTTAATTTCCCTGTCATCTGAAACGGGAAGATGATTTGGGGGCTCAGCTTCTCTGCTGAATGAATCGGCATGCTCCTTTCCAATACGGTCCAACGTTTACAATGATGGTATAACAGCATTGCTTCACACCACCAAATCTCATCACGCCATGAAATTTCTTGTAAAGGGAGGAGCTTTTCCTATCCTGTGTCAAAACCTGAAATTCTGACTACATTTTATGGATACTAAAGACAAGACGTTTTTTAAATGAAGTGCTTACCCTGTCTTGATCAAAAATGGTCCTCTTTCTCATATTTTGGAGCACTTTATTTATCTCAACGTCATTTTCTACCTCAATCATACAGGTCTCATCAAATAGTGATGCAGAATTCTCACCAGGTCTTAAAGGTACACTGCGTATGGAGTTTGTTCAGCTCCTCCCAGCTAAAAATCACAGCAGAAAACCCTGCTCCTGCTTCATGCTCTACAACACTGGAGCTTTGCTGAAGGGGTCAACACAAATTCAGGGGCGGATGTGCACAACTCAGGGTGTAAGTGTGACATGTTTGTGTGGTTGCCTTCCAAACTCAGGATTTATGTTTCTGCATTTCAGAAGATTTTTTTTGACGTAACATTTAGCTACAGAGAACTGCTTGATGTAAACAAACTAAAATGCAAGTACCGGTCTTTCTCTTGACAGGCTGTTAGTTTTCCTTAAGCTCTCCCTAAGGCTGTGCCGGCGACGGATCAGAATTTCTTTGGCCTGCTTTTCGCTTGCATCCGCAGCCAGGCTATGTCGGTTGTATGACATTGTCTGAAATATAAAGGCAGTGGTTATGTTCTGAAAAGCACAATGTCAAATGTACTGAACTATATAAACTGTGCAAAACAGGCTTTTTGCTTTAATGGTTTAATAAGCATCATAAATCCTTGCAAACAAAATCACACTAAAGAAGATGATCAAGACCAAGGACAGTAATTATGCTAGCGTTTTTTTAGTCATCTGCTTCACCAGCACCTGCTTTTTTTTTAAAACCTGCTGATATTTATAATGGAAGAGAAATTGGAAAAGGCTGGGTTGATACGGTGTTTACCTCAGCCTTGTACTAGCTCAGTCAATACGTCAATAGAAGATGCATATTTGTAAGCGATAAGATCAGTCACACAGAGGGAAGTCATTTTTACCTCCAGCAAGCTGAAGCAAGCTCCACTTTTGAATGGTTTCCAAAGGTGCAGACATTCAAATACTTAGCCACAGGAGGGTAAATTTGAAATGTCCTTCTGCTTTTATTTCACTGCTTTCCCAGCTCATCACCTCTGTTCTTAATACAAACAACTTCACAACTGGGGGCAAATGGGAAAACTAATCCCACATCAAGAACTGACCAAAATGCTGATATAAGTGGGACAATGTTGGGGTTGAATTTGCACCTATAATCCTTTGTAAGTAATGTAAGTACATGGCAGGTAATATGTATACTATATATAAATATATATATGTATAAAAATATATTTATGCATTATATAGTATGTATAAAACATTAAGCTTTATCAATAGTGTAAGATCAAGTAAACCATTCATGTAAAGGAGTCTGGATATGTTGCTGCAATTTTAACAGGGAATGGACCCATACGCAGTATAAGCAAACAACAGCTATTGTACAGCAGACGCAGAGCTGGCCTAAAGACACGCTTTAAAGGTAGGTGCACTCAAAGATAATTAACTATGTAAAAGCTTCATCCTTACTCGATGTCGTATTTGGTAGAGATTCTTTGTTAATATTTCCCGCATGTTTTCCATTTCAGTGGGAGAAAGTGGCTTTATTTTTCCTTCATGATATTCACTGTGGCAGAAGAAAAAAAGCAACATACATACACAAAAGAGAGAGAGGAAAAATGTTTTCGTCATTGGGAACTACATTGGAACTATTTCCTTTGTTAAAGCTGGAAACAACATTTTTAAACTAACCAAGGAAGATGTAAAAATTTGACACACAGAAAAGAAACTTTTATCTCATTTCAGTCACTGATAACCCTCAAAACTTGCTACTGGTGCTCAGGACTCTCCAAAATTTGATATAAATTACATTAAACTGTGAATTTGATTAAGATACTTTTCCAAATGCCCCTCAAGCTTCTCCTGTAGCTAGTGTAGCAGATGCACAGGCAATGGTTCAACCCCAGCTCAGCCCTACATGGCAAATCAATGCTCCCCGGAAGCCGTGCACAGCTGACCTTGTAAACCTAGACTCTCCGGAAGAGTGAAGTTCACTGAGTGCTTTATATGTGCGCTGCAAGTGAAATGCTCTTGCTTCCTATCTGCTTACCGCTCATGTGACATTAGCACACAGGCCTTGTCAAAGTGATTATCCTGTGTACAGCCTGGGCTGTGAAATAAATACTAAGCCAGTTGTGATGCTCAGCCATGCTGGCCTTGCTTGCTTACCTGAGAGACACCGACGATGGGACCTTGCTTATCATTCCACTCTCTGCCATCTCAATGGCGTGTTTTATTTCCAGCTTCTTGTATAAAGAAACAATGCTGGATTTGGGCTGGTTCTCCCGGATTAGAAGTCTTCGCAGGTATTTATTGTCAAACTTTTTAAACCTGTACATGAGGCAAACCAACCCAGGCAGTTAATTTGTACTGTGCATAGTCCAGGAAAGCCAATACACTGTCTCTAAAGCAATCGTGAAGGCACTTATTCCCTGGGAACATTTTTGCTCATATTAATAACTTACCAGTGAATAACTTAATAAAGGGTCAAGTTCATCTTTGCTTCAGATAGTCTTGGACCTGTGTTTTTGTTAATATGCTAATGGACGGTCTCCCTAGCAGGAACTTTTAACTTGTAGGTACTCTGTGTTATTAGCCAATATTATTTTTAATTCTCCATTTTCATCCAGACAAAGAGAACATTAAATATTTACTGTAAAAGCAAATAAAATGTCTAAGTTTACACCCACTGCTTTTTCTTTGAAATTTTAGCCAGTTCTTGCAAAATCTTGGAAATACTCCCTTCCTCCAAAGCAACTGCAACCCTTTTGGATGCTTAGTGAAATAATATTGATTAGAGTTGAGGTGATTTTGTTTGTCAGAAAATATCTTACCCTACGGTCATCCTGAAATTATTCTTGAATTTGGGTCAAAAATGTTTCTGAAGGTCATGTGGAGGTGGACTTGTCTTTCTCTCTGTAATCTGTTAATTACAGATCTCACACAGACTGGAGGAGAACTAGCCTGAATAAAGCAGAGTTGTGCCCATATCATGCATCTGTCAGGTAAGTGTCCTCACTGTCATGCCCTCAGGTCATCTGGCGAGAGCTCTTAGACCCTCCTGCTGATGCAGTTCCACTTGTATGAAACACTTGAATGCTTGCTGAAGCAGTGGCTAGAAGGTGAGTGAGTAATGTCCGTGTTCTGGGTCTAAAGGATCAGTATTTGGGGGGAAAAGAATGTGCTTCGGAGAAAAATAAGTTAGACCTAAAACAACGAAGATGATAATTCAGTAGCTAAACTGAACATATGTATTATTCATGCATTGCTAGTGATAATCTTCTTAACTCACACTAAGTCTTAAATAATACCATCAAGAACTGTGGAGCTGCCTGCCATTAAGATCTCTCATGCACCTCATGTCATTTAATGCCTTGATCTTCCTATAGAAAGCTCCAAAGCTTTTGTATGTTTATCATCAAGTAGCCCCTCAGTGAACACCACAGAGATATATATACAACTTGCACTAGGAAAACAGCCGGTGGATGAAAGGCTCAGTAGACACACAGGAAATGCTCTGAAACAGTCAGAAATAGAGAGATTACACAGACTTCAGAAGGTAAAACTCTTTACCCTGGGATCAGAGGGCTGTGTTTTTTCCCAGCTGGAGTTTTTGTTCTACTTGCTTGTGGTTTAGTAAAAAGATTCTGTTTTCCTGTTTTCTCTGTGTAACCCACACATTCTAAAAACAACCATCTGCTTTCAGGAATAAAATGCTGAAAATGAAATATGATGCCCAACAGCGTTCATTTGTTGTGGCTGAGCCAGTTTGGTCTTCCCTGTATAACAAAGAGTTTGAAATGCCATTCTTACTTATCTCTCCAAAAGTTGTGACCCCAGTGTCCACACACGTCTTCAATTCCAGTCTTCACATGATCGAAGAACTAGAGGGGAAATGTTGGTTCACTACATAACCTTATAGACATCATTTGGTTTGCACTTATATATTATTATTTTCTAACACCAACTTACTTCTGATAGAAAAGTCCAGTCAAAATTCAGGATCATACTTCAGTTTAACTAAATACAGTCTAATGAACCTAGTGCAGATTTGGCTTACAGTTATTAAAATGGCTCAGCCTTTGCTTCAGTTCAAATGCTTGGGGAGCACAGCATGCATTCAGTCGTTTGCCTGACTCAGAGAGCTGGATTCTGCTCTGTTTTCCCTTGCAGCTTCCTCAGATCAGCTCCCCAAAAGGACAGAAGTTAGTTGCCTGTCTCCAGAACGTCAGTCTTGCTCAGCTCCTAGCTAAATCTGCAGGCAGCTTACTTTCGCTATTGAAAGTTCCCTAGCTGCTTAGGGCTATGCCTGGGACTTCCCCAGGGTCTTTCCTGGGCTTGGCAGTGAACCAGGCATGACTTTGCAGAGGACAAAGCCCGAGAGGGCGGCAGCTCCCTGCGTCAGCGCTCTGAGTGCCCGGGCACTGAGTGTCTGGCTGAGACACCCAGCAGAAGGCCCCAAACTCCTATTTCAGGGGGCTGCGGTCCAGCCTGACCTCAGAGCACTGTGAGCACCCAATGCTAGCGACACACTCTTCCTGGGTCTGTTACCAGTAATGAAAAGGTGAATCAGCCCAGCTGGCTAAGATCTCACTTGATCCGCAGACGCATCTCTCTCTCCCTCTAAAACATTTCCTAGAACAACTGTGTTCTTAATTCAAGTGCCCCAGTAGGGGGTCTCTAAAATTCAGGGGCAAATCCTGGTAGATATGTCCAAAGGACAAGCTCTACAAGTGACTGACTTTTAGACACCTCAGTTCAGCTCTTTATTGAATCTGGCCCTTATTATTCCTCATTTGGGGAATTTACAACCACCTGTCACAGGTATGCTGCAAGGAGAAATATAACGAAGAATGTGCATGGCTAGTAAACTGCAATATTGGGAGATATAAAAGTACCAAAGACAAATCCATAAACAAGCTGATGATGTGAGAATTAAGTAAGATTAAGTGTGTCTTTAGGAGGGGTTTGCGTTTGTTTAATTAGACTAGCTGAAATGCGATGTAATGTAATTAAATCGCTGTAGTTTTCCTAAGGTAGTCAAGCTCTAAAACAGCATATTTCCTAAGTGAAACAAACTACAAGAAGATAATTTATCTCAGCAGGTGAACATTATAAAATGAAAACTCTAAAGTAATGATAAATAATAATAACTTTGATAATGATGAAAAGTTAAATATAAGTTTAGAGTTATTGTCTTTATAGCAGCTCTAGAAAAGAAATTTAAAAGAGCACCTCTCCCTCTGTAATGTTGTATGTGAAACCCTTGTCTTACTGAAAGCCACCGAGAGTTTCATCTGTATCAGGGCTTCATCTATGACACTGAAGCTGCAACATACCCTGTTATAAATTTCTTCACTGACAGCAGGCTGCTTTTTATTTGACCTTTTGACATCAAGAAACTCCACCAGTGGGCGAATTGTTATTCCCTGTGAAGAAAATAGCAAACATTTCTGTGTTTATCCATAAATATAATGGAAAAAAAAAATCTTTTAGTCTCTTAGTCTTTTCCGTCTCTGTCGGAGCAGTCCAAATGGCTGTGGGAACCTTCCTAGTACTCAACAAGCAAGCCTGGAACTATAGTTACAACAGTGAATTCACTTTTGTAATTAGCAGGTGTTGCACTTAGCTATGAAGTCCTTGTCATCCCACAGAGTCTGCTAACATAACAGAAGAAATGGAAAAGTTAAGAGGTAAGAGGTCCCTGCCCCCACCAAAAGCATGGCAACTTGACAAATCCAGTCAGGAATATGTCACTTACCACCTCCCTCAGGTTTTAAATATTTTTTTCCAATTCTCTTATGTATTAAAAAAAATTCTCACTTGTTTTATGAATCAACAAACAAATCTTCCCTCATTCCAAAGCAAAAGTATGGAGTCCTCTTTTCTAGTGATTGCTTTCAACACATGTACACATAGATATCTCAACAGTAGCACTAAAATTACTACTCAAGATCTATGACAATAAGATTGTTGGTAAATAAGTGAAAGAACAAAAAGTTTTGGCCACCTCAGAATGATATACTGGCTTTGAACAATTACTTGTGGAAGAACTGATATATTTTTTTTATTTGTATAGACACACTGAGACAGGGGGAAGGGAATAAATCCCGCATGGTTTTGAGATCAGTCCCAACTATCCCAGACAACCATGCCATGCATTTCTTTTCATAAATGAATCAAGCTTTATTATAAAAGTAGTTAGGTTTTTTTGCCCCATTGCTCTTACTGGAACACTCATCCTGAACCTTATTGTTCTGATAATTAGAAATCTTCTTCTTAATTGCACCACGGTCACTTTGTACCACTTTGTTCTTGTGCCAACATTGTCTTTTTAGCTTAAAGAGTTCTCCTCCTTCTCTAGTGTTTACTCCTTGATATAAACAGTAGCTATAGTCCCTCTTCTCCTTCATTTTGCTAAGGCCAAGACAGTCTGGTCTTTTTTCATACGACAGGCTTACCAGTCCCATGATCGCTCTAGAACATGGCATTATTCTCTGCTGCAAATATTTTCTCAGTAGGTCTTAAAATCATATTTGCCTTTCTTGTGTCCCCATTGCATTGGTGGTTTAAACAGCATGCGGTTTTCGACTATTACACCTGTGTCTTTCTCCCCTTCTATTTTTTCTCAAGGCCCCCATTTCATAGGAGAAATTCCTAATGAGTAAGAAAGTCCTAGTAAGAACAAGTTTGCACTTATTACTGTTAAATTTCATTCAATTTCTACCATACTGTTCCTCAGTTATTCTCTTCTTCCACTCCATACCGCTGTCACCCTGAGAATACCGTCCAAGGTCTGTCATCAAGAAATAGCAGCATCAAAAGAAGTGCTACCTTTTTGTGCCATGGTCTGTAATGAGAATATTAAACAAGACCATCCCCATGAGCCGTCCTTGAGGAATTCCCTTAATGATATCTCTTCAGAGTGTTATCTGCTAGTGGTCGCATACTGAAGCAGGTCCCCAGGGAGGCTGGGTAATCTCCATCTTCGCAGATATTCAGAACTAAACTGGACATGGCACTGGACAACCTGATCTGCCTTTGAAGTTGGCCCTGCTTTGGGCAAGGAATTGCTCTAGAGACCTCCAGAAGTCCTTTCCAACCCAAATTATTCTATATTTCTATTTCCCATTATAGGAGAAATTACCAATCCCTTCCTCATCTACCTTACAATCATTCTACAGTCAATCTAAACCTCAGTTTAACTAACAGTTAAACTAACAATTTCCTATGTAGCCTCACCACAAAAGTTTCACAATAGTCCATTTAGATGAGGTTACTAGTGTTGCCTTGCTCTAGAAAACAAATTACCTTATAAAAGAATGATATCAGGTTTCCCTTTGGTAACCCATGTTGCATTTCATAACACATTCCATTTACCTCCACATTTTTAATTATTCTGTCTTTCAAAATCAATTTTCACAGCTTAACATGCTAAGGAAGTCAACTAATTGGCCTGCAGTTGCGCAAACTACCTTTTTCCCTTTTTTAAGCATGAGCGCAGATACTTTCAACTTTCCATGACATCTCCCTTCATGTAAAGGACATATAAAAAAATATTTGTCCACATATCTGAAATTCCATGTACTAGTTTCTCAAAAGCGTCTCACAATTTTGAATAATGACTAGCCCCATATGCTGACTTGAGTGGCTTCAGCTCCTCTGAATTTTGCTGGTTCTGGTCACTTCCTTCTTCTCATTCTTCTTGGTCATCTTGACCAGGGCCCCATGGTCAGTATGAAGCCAGAGACAAGTTCTTCACATTCTTCTGCACACCTGGCGCTTTTGGATGGGTGTCCAGCTGGTTTTCAACATTATTGCCTAATACCTAGATTCAAAACACTCCAATTCACCTCTCAGTGTCTTAAGTATCTTCCCATTCCTCTGCTCACTGCACACCATATTCAGCACTAAACTATCAAGTAAATACATAACTTGAAATATTCTAACAAGAACTTAGTGCTGGGGCTGTACCTAGATTATCTTTTATCTCTACCCCATCCTCACTGGTTCTTAAAAGCTTAATACTACTTACATGCTAGCATAAGTACTTAATATCTGGCATGCCTTTACTACTGCTCTACTCTCTGCATAGAATTTTTTTTTAAGTATGCACATGGAGCAATGCAGAAGAGTACCTTCAAGTATGTTCCTGCAAGTAAGTTGAGATGTCTGTCTGTCTACCCACTGCTTATTTACAACCCATCTGACAAAGAAAAAAAAAATGTCCAGAAGAGGAAAGGTATTACCTGAATGAAAACAGTAAAGAATATCACCACAATAACAGCAGTGATGAACAATTTCTTCCTGGGGAACACAGCAGGAGGAAGTAGAAATACAAGTGAAAAACAAATAGCTCCTCGGAGACCTCCATAGGCAATAATAAATTGGTCCTTAAAAGTGAGAGGAATTGTTCGGAACACATTAATGATCTGCGTCAGAACAAAAACACCTGAGAGAAAGAACAGAAATACAGGGAAGAGAAAAAAACCAAGCAATTAAAATTAAATGAAAATCCTCTACAATGCTTATATTTAAAACATTGCTTTTATTTGTTTCCTACTTATATATTTTTGAAGAAATGAAATGTTATTTTGCACCTTTAAAACACCATGTAAGAAAAATTTAAAAAGCCTAAGAAATACCTTAAAAATATTTAGTCAGCTAACCTCCCGAGGTCAGCTGGATTTAGAACCCAAAGCAGCTAAGTGAGCTCCACTAGACAGCTCTCTGCTAGACTTTGTCTGCACCTTCAGAATATCCATGAATCTCTGTGTCAGGATGGAACAAGGTGCCTAAATCATTTTTAAAGTGTGATCTGAGGTGCTTTTGAACACTTTTGCTTATCCACTCCAACAATCTGTGCTTTGCATCCTGCAAACTCCTACTCCCACACTTAATTTTATGTGCATAGTAATTTTATTTTAGTGAGTGGACTACACTAATGAAGTTAAACATAAACGTAAGCTTTTTCAGGACTGCAGGCTACAGTGGCAGTTCTTGAGATGACGACTGAGAGAGGGTGGAAGCGAATGCAGAGCACAGGAGGGGAGAGGACAGGAGAAAAGGGCAAGTCCACCCAAGCTTTGCCCTTTGCTTCCTCCTCTTTCCATTCTGTGTCCTCCTCCTCTGGCATCCACCTGGAGAGTGTAACCACTCTCCAGATGCCAGACGGGACAGGGAAAGGGCCACTTACAGTGAGCAGGTGGGCAAAGACTACCTTCTTCCTTCCTCCCTCCCTTCCCTCTTCCTAATGGCAAAATGATCAGAGCTGCGCAGGTGCACCAGGTCAGCTGTGCACCAGAAGCACATGCAAGGCTGCACTTGGAGCTCAGGCTTGCAGCGAGGAAAATGAAAGCAGTGTGGCTGGGCAGCAAAGGGCATAGACACATACAACATGCGCTTTGTAGACAGATGGGGTGCAGGTCTGGGGTTGGTGTGAGAAGATGCCAGCACAGTGTGATGTACCAGAGGAGAAGGCTCTAGAGACGAGGAGGTCTGGCTCAGCAGTAAAGGCATGAAGGCAGGTGAAAGGAGTGAGCCTGGTGTCCAGGAGCTGAAGGGCAGCCAGGCTGCTTGGCTGGTTTTGAGCATGAGGCATTAATTGTGGGGTTGTGGGTGGGCGGAGGGAAAATAGTTGAGATTTCTGCACTAGAGAGAGTCTTGGGAGCTGGAAGCATGGGTGCAGAAGCAGACCAGAGCATGAGCTACTTGTGTGCATGTAGCTGAAGCATTACATAAGGAATTGGGATGACAGGCAGGTTTAAGACCTACGGGCCTGGCCTGCACTTGAGTCCTGAGGTGAAAGATAAAGAGGTAGTACTACAAACACAGGAGAGGTCAAGTAGTTTCTTACAGTATTTGTTTCTTTACAACATATACCTGAACAGCGTTTCAACTATAGCATTTCCTGGTTTGAGGCTATTTATGCCAATAACTGGGAAATCCTACAAACCTAGCAAACACTAAAAAAAAAACAAACCTGTTTTGTTGTTCCAGAATTGCTAATTATTTAAGTAAAATGTGTTTATTTATAAATAAATGCTTACTTAAATACAAAGTGTTCCCTCTGATTTATATGCAGCCTGTCTTTGACTTTGTATGGGCAGACTCAAGATCGAACTGATTTTTTGGTACCATTTTGAGAAAAGGTGGAAGCCAACCCTGTAAGACACCTTATAAATAAGAACATTATATGGGCTGATGGAACTCTACCTAAATTTGAAGTTTACTATGTGAGGTAGGACTAGAAGTTTCACTTGTAAAGAACATTGACGCATAGTCTTATATGTGCTTACCCAGTGCCCTCCAGATTAAACAAAAAAGGAGGGTGAAGCTAACAAAGGCCCAGTTCCACTCATGGTTCTTCCCAACTGTAGACACTCCCATGAAAATGAAGATTAAGGTCTCACTGACACTGCTCAGCATCTTCATAAAATACTTTATCGTTGTATAAGACTTTTGGGAAACATTTTCCTCCACATACTTGTTCATGGTCATGGCACAAGCTGTAATTCTGAAAAGCAAACATTATCCTATATTTCATCGGTTTGATTTTTGTTAGCTCATCTCATTTCTGGAGAATGCCACTCACTTTTCCATGATCCTTTTTAAAATATAAAGCATAATTGATCCCATCACCAACCAGTCTTAAATGTATAGAGGTAGTAAACCTACAGTTTTGGACATGATGTTTTTTCCACAGTGAGGAGCTTTCTGAGAAGGCATCAGCATATGAAGAGTTTTCTCACATACTAAATCCACATGATCTGTGCAGGGATCACTCAAACTATATTTTGAACCTGCAAAAGGGAGAGCTGCTGAGAGCCAGGGCGTTGCTCTGGAGAACAAGGATGGCTGCTCCCACTGCTGCTGAAGGACATAAGAAGCCAGGATGGCAACTGGGGAGGACTTCCCTTCCTCCCCATCAGAAGTTGCTCCCCTATACAATTCCCCTCCTCGGTGACAAAGTAATCAGCTCCTTTCTCCAGGCAAAGTAAGTAACAAGGCCATAGACAATTTGCCGTCCTCCTCCACTCCAGGCTACGGCTTGCTTTGCCTATGCATAGGGCTGGCCATGGCTCCCACAGTAGAAAAAACACAACCAGAACTCATGCTGGTGCAGTAGCACATTTAAAGTGCCTACAAATGAATGAAATGGGCATCTCAGCTGACACATGAGAGAACAGACAGGACTTACTACGTGTATGTCTGTGTGCCCATGCTCTGAGCCTGTGTTAGTGAACACAGTTTTGTAATCAGTAGGAAGAGCAAAGAGTAACAATACCAGTTGTACCTCATTTGCTCAGTACAGCTGACCATGATGCAGGGATGGCTGAGGACCACTGAGGTACAAGGTTTACAGGCTTAAGGATGATTGGCAGTGCTGGCTGGAGGATAACCTCAAGGTTGTGCCTCAGTGTAGGGGAAGCACAGTCTAAATCACTTAATAATTATCAGGGTGTGCAACTAAGGCAAGATTCATTGTGAAATAGCTAACACTTCTGAATATACTACCTAAGGCAAAAGCATCTCTCCCCTCCCTGCAGCTAGGTCTTTTTGGATTTCCCAGTTAAATACAACTTTATATACACTCATGTAAGGGTTTTGGGTCAAAACATACCGATTAAACCCAAGTGAAGAGAGAGAGATGTGTACCTATGTTGTCTTTCTGAATATCATCCATTAGGATTTATCCCAAGCTTATTTATCCCAGCTTAACCAGTTATTTGGTTTATACAGAATATTTGCCAGCCTAGGGGGATATCTCTTCCCATCTTCATGTTGTTCTCTCTCATGGAGGAAAAAAATGGTAGGTTTGCCAGTCTCTCTTTGGAAAAAAATGAAGAGGGTTCTCACATGTCTTGTGGAGATCCCAGTGCAGAGTAACTTCCATTGAGCATATCCTGTCTCTAAAACAAGAGCCCCATCTCCGAACAACTCAAACATCCCTAAGGCAGACTAAGGGACAGCTCACAGCAAAGCCACTGAGGGCTCTATCACTTTTTTCATGTACCCAACCGGAAGGAGATGAGGTCCAGAACACCACTGAGACAAAATGCATTACCTCCAGCAGGTGACGAACTGCTGAGAATTAAAAAATTTCACTTCCTGCGTGGCCTCCACTTTCCAGAGTGTAGTCCTGCCTGCAGCTGAAATTATGAATGAATATATCTAGAGTCTTTCCTCTAAAAGAAGGGACTGAAAAGATCTTTTCACAAAGCAGCAAGAGGAATCACAGAAACAGCAGTGACCTCAAAAGTACTTCAAAATAAAATACTTTCTTAACATTTAGATGGAGGATGTCCATAACAGAAGCTGAGGCTCTCCTAACATGCTTCTCCTAATTAATTAAAATTAGCACGTTCTTTTGTTCAGAAGTTTCCTTCTGTTATGTGGAGCCAGAATGGCCCACTTTGAGGAAAAAGTCCAAGATCTGAAATGTAGTTGTAGATCTCTGACCCACCAATACATCCACATCCTCAGCCCCAAAGTGGCTGAGAAGTATTACTTCTGACTGACGAATCTGGGAGGCCACATGGGCACTGGAAAGGGCCCTGCATGCATATTAGGATGAGCGAAATCCAAGGAAGAGAGGATAGATGTTCGATGGGGCAGGTCATAGTGTAGAGACATAGGTGGAGATAGGTTGCCGGCAGAAGAGCAGAGGCTCTCCGTGCACCTAAGCCCGGCCTTCGACCTCCCTTTTTGCCCACCTAAAGTTAGTGATAGAGAGGAGAGTCTAGTCAGCACAATATAAAATGGCCGTTCTTATTCAAAAGCTAGCTTAGTCCCTAAACATACTTCAAGACTGAGCAGAAGGAAAGCTGGATAAAAACTCTTTCAGGCCCTCAACTGCACTTAGTGCTACCATAATTAGCCACTATCTCCTCATTATCACCCTATTTCACCAAGATCTTGAAAAGAAAGATCCTCTATGGCCCAAAAGTAATGCTCCCTGGGAAGCAGAGCTCATCATAGCTACTTGGGATCCAGCACAGAAGGAAAAATGCATACTTCATGAGTATGCAAACTTCCTCCCTGCAATAGTCTCTGCTTTAGTTAATGTTTCTAGTTTTAAGCGTGTAGCTGGGACAAGAGAGGTCCTGCATTTTGCCAGCACAGGCAGATGTGGTACAGTTGCTCTTCACAGCTCTTCTTCTTGTTTTGGTCTTATAGTTTTCCAAACTAGGCACTTGGCTCAATCGCTACAATCTTTGGGAAGAGATCACCTGCACATCTTGGAAATAATAAAGAAGGCTATGTCATTTTGGCCTAACATGGAGTTATGATATGGCCAGGACATACACTCAGACTTAGAAGTCAGGAAGCTTCAGTTTACACACAGCTGGTGCTTCAGTTTACACACAGCTCCAGTGACCAGCCTTGAAAGAATATGTGAAGGGTCTCAAATCTACTTAACACTTTCCCTCCTCAGAACTCTTATTATTTAGCGGCAATCCTGGACTTCATAAGCCACAGTCTTGTGAAGTCCACACTGACAGACCTACAAATATCTTATGCCACGGCCTATGACAGTTCTCCTGTGCATGCACAGCTTATCTGCACAAGTATAACAAGTCCACTCCATCCTGGCCACCTTCAATCGGTTGCACAGGCAACAGAGCTGGCAAGTGCCGGGCCAGCAATTCCAATATATCAGGAATGCAATGGGCAGGCTGCACAACAGCCGTTTCCAGACACACAGTCATGCCAGAGTCTCAAAGCTGTGGCCTGCTGCTCATAGCATTAGGGCTGTCAAGTCTTCATCAAAGAAAGAACAAAATACTACTCTTTACTACCTTCTTAAAATAATAAATTACTTTCATTATTATAGTCATTTAGGAAAATCCTGCAGCTTGGGAAGCAGGGAAGCATGCTTTGGCCACAGTTTGTTTTTGGATCCTGAGGTAATGGAGACACTGTAAATAGATGTCTGATAACAATCTGTCACTGGATTAATCGGGATCTTAGCAAGCTGTAACTTAAAACACCTCCCATGTTTAACAACTAGAATTTAAAGGGACTATGCTCACATATACTTCTTTTTTCAGTTACATTTTGCACTCACCCAATTAGTGTCAACAACTAAACTGATTCACCAGTATACAAAATAGTGCTGTATATTATTTGCTACTCTTAAAATGAGTACTATTCCACAGCTAATCAATGCTCACTCTATGAATTTGATATCTCTTCAGCTTATTTATTTAGGCTAGAAAAAAATATACTAAAGTCTCTTCGGTTGATGATATGTCAATACAGTGTTAGAATACAAGATAAAATCAAAGTCTTAAGATATGCAAGATGTTATATACATCATTATAATATCTTATTTCCAAATTAGGTTCTTACTATCTCCATAATCTAAGCAAAAGCTTAGGTGTGTTCTGTTTCATATTTCTTGTCCATATATACATTATTTCTAGCTTCCATTTCCGTGACCTGAGGTGGTTGCCTTGGTCAAGAAAGGGAGGAAAAAAATAGTTAATTACCCTTAACCTTCAACCTTCAGTGCCTCTGAAGAATAAAAGTTCTCCTGTACAAACAGTATAGTTTCTGTCATGGCTGGAATAAACAAGGCTACTGGGTTCAATCCTCAAGTTTCCTTGACCTACTAAATTTACAGTAGCTGCAATGTTTGTTCCTTTCAGTCTGCTAATTCACTGTTGTAAAAAAAGAAACACATACTAATACTTCTGACGTTTCACAGCCCTTATAAGAAATAAGTAAACAGAAAAAGCAGTATTATAATTAGAAATGGAACCAGGCAAATAAAGTGCAGATGCACATCTGTATTTTTTACACCCATGATCCTGATTCAAGCCCAGCTCTAATTACAGGAGAACCTATTTCCTCTCCTTCTGAAGAGAACTTTCTCATTGCAGCTCACAAGGATGTGATTCAGTCCCTTAGCTATTTAAGCTGAGTCACCTGACTCAGGGGTTATACACAGATGTTTCAAGAATCATTTGTCCCCGGAACAAGTATATAGACTTATCAGAAGAGGGACAAGCACTTTCCCCTCTATTCCTTTGCCAGTGAATTCCTAGTTGCACAGAAATGACGCACTCCATGCATGTATCTTATTTATTTGATAATACTGTATGTTCCTGCCCGTGCCCTTCATCTAAAGTATGGTACAGTGCATAACTGCAACGCTTTGTTGAGTACCTTTCGGCATCAGGCTATGAAGAAAGTGGAAATCAATAGTTTAAAGGGCTCAAGTGGATATGGGTGAAAAGAGGGAGATGACAGGTTTGTTGCCTAAAAGCTAAACTATAAATGACCACAGAATCATAGACCCATTGAACAACCCAGGTTGCAAGGGACCCTCCAAGGTCATTTGGTCCAACCACCCACTCAAAGCAGGGCTGCCTTTGAAATCAGAACGAAGGGAACACAATCATGAGTCACTTGTTGCAGGAAACGGCACACAATGTCAGTATATGCTGCACTTTGTGACATGGAGCAGCATATTCTCTGCAGTTCAAAACCTAATCGGATGTGAAGAGCGTGGGGTAGATTTACTCCAAGTGAAACTGGAGATTACAGAAGCTATAAGGCCCTCACCAGCACTGCTTGGTAGGGAGCACGCTCTATGGCTCGTGACAGCTGAGAGATTGCACCTCTGCAAAGACCTTTCTCCTCCCCATGAGTCTTACTGACATAACCTTCTCTGCTAGCTATTACAAAATACATTTAGAATAAAAATACATATAGGCCATATTGAAGATAACTTTTTTGGAGCATAAAAAAATACCTCATATTTCCTCCATTGTTTTGCACCTACTCAGGGGTCACTGGCGTAAATAAAAAGAAGTAATTTATCTGTGCCATGTGAAGTATTAGTGTGCTCGTTCCTGGTGCTGGCATGCAGTAGTTCCACTTACGCACTAGCGTGCCCATGGTGCCTTTTCATTTTATCCTGAAGAATGTTCAATTCAATATTTTCATGCATGCTACTACAATTTTTCCGTATACAGTTTAGCCACACGTTTTTGTTTTAGAAGGCCTTTAAGTACTTGATCATAGGATGTCAAGGACATTTGACTTAAGAAGAGGAGGAAACTGGAAATCACACAAATGCTATGAATAGAAGCTAGGTAAAGAGATGGCACATCTATGAACTCGGTCACAGTGGATGCATATGTTACTTTATTTAGGCTCATATCAGAGAAAGAAAGCCATGCAATCTTTAGCTCTTCACTTATATTAAAGTACTAAACCCTTACTTTTTGTGACATATTTCTATTTCTATACTACTTAATCATCAGCGGTAAGTTCCCATTTTAATTGCTTCTTGGTCCCAGAAAACATTAAATTGACCTGGCTATGATATCAAACCTATCTTCACTTTCTTAAAAGATATTTAATCACTGAAAGAGGTATTATCAAATATTAGAGGTACTAAGAAATAACATCTGAGCTTTCAGAAAAAGCTATGCTTCTCATGCCTGAATGACTCATATTTGCCACTAGAACAATACAAAAACATTAACGCTGGCCTTTAAAAATATACCATTTAAGTATATCAAGTGTCATAAAGGCTCTTTCTAAAATTGAGATTGTTACAGTATAATCAGCAAATAACAAGAGGCTATACTCTCTATTGAAGCCCAAGAGTGAAAAAACGTAATATTTTTATCTGTTAGAAATGAGAATAATAATGTTATTTTATACGTATTTATGTATACAGAGGGCATTGTAATACACAGGCACATGTATCAGGAAACTAAGCTAAAGGCTTAGGACTAGATTCTGCAAATCTTACATTCATCCAATCCTTACTGCACTTGTAATCCAGTAGTAGTTTTGCTTTCATGATACATGCATGGCCTTCATTGCGTGGTACTTACTGGCTGCTCGTATGTCTAAGTGAAGATGTAGTTTCACAACACATTGGCATCAGTAGTGAAGCCAGCTCATGAAATAGCCTAGCTACCCCTCCCACTCCCTCTCAACCACTGCTGCCCCCACATCACCATCTATCACCCCTCAGTCGTTCCTTTAAGACCAGTTGTGGGGGTCACACCAGGACATAGGTCACAGAACTGATCTGGGTTAAAAATAACCCCACCAAAAATGTAAGGGACTTATTTTTAACTTGGAACATTTCAAAGATATGGTTTATGATGTGATGCCATGAACAGTTTTAGTGACACAGCTGGTGTGGTGGCAAGCTGAGACAATGGGATGGGAACAGTAGGGGAGAGGCCGGAAATCCTCAAGCCAGCTTCACTGCCATGCAGGATGGAACCATGCCATATGGCAAAGTTTGCAAAATCTGGTCCTCTCTGCAATTTCCTTTGGCATTCTTATTTGGGTGCTGTTATTACTGAAATTTGGGGTACTTACGCCATGATGCCCGAGAGATGAAACATTTCAGCTGTTATGTATGACAAATAACTGTACAGGAAGACAAAAAGTGGCTCAATCACTCGGATTTTATGGGTGAAACGGGTGGTAAATGCTGCTACAAATCCCAAAAGGATTCCAATCAATACTCCACCGATCCCCACTATAAAGAAGTTAGCAATCCCAGCGAATATGTCAACAACCTTAATTGTGCGCATCTGGCAGAAAGACTTGAACAAATTGTACAGGACCTATGGGAAAAAGAAAGCATATTATGTTTCTGAACTCTTCTTAATTTCTCTTTATGTCTTTGTGTTCCTCCATTTCAATGTTGGACTTTGTATTTCTGTATCTACCTTGAACTCGCTTTTGAGATCTGCTGTTGCTTACCTCTGGTATATTATTTGTCATCTATAATTATCAGGGAGATTTACAAATAAAGGTAAATATCATTATTCTCACTTTTGCAAATGGGAACAGAACACTGAGGTGTCATTCTGCAATAGTGAATCAGACTGAAGGTCCATTTGGCATAGGGGCAGTCCACAGAGGCCACCCCAGGAAGGAGTACAAGCAAGAAGGCATCCATGGAGTGGTCTTTCTCTGATATATTCGCCACTAGGGATCTAACAGTTGAAGGACTTTTCAAGCCATGGATTGTTTCCAGAGATTTGGGTTTAATTCTCAGTAATAGACCTGTTTCCGTGTATTTGCCCAGTTTCATTTTTTGAACTATTCATAACTGCTCTCCAAAATAAGTTCTGTCAATGAGATTTTTATGTTTTCTTGGCCAGAGAGTCTTTTCCATTTTATATAGGAAATGATATATAAGTCCACATTTCTCTAATATCCAGTGTTCTAGTTATGACAAAACATTTACCAATGAAATCTGTTACTCTTAAAGAAAACTTACAAGGTCTCTCAACTGCAGATTTATTAGGGCGATTTAAGCTTTGCCTGATGCTGCTCACATGCTCCCAGCCATGTGATACCATGAGGGCTACATAGTCTCCTTGGACACATCACAGCTTGGTCATGGGGGTCAAGAGGGGTCTATTGCTGTCAGAACAGATATATGCCAGAAGTGGAAATCAGGTTCACAGACTAAGCCACCGCTGGTGTTTTTAATAAACACCACACTAGTCAGCTTGGAAAGCTTACAAAAGTTAAACCTTTGCTTTCATTCTGAACTTCTTAGTAAACCAAACAGGTTCCTCTATGAGAAATGTTATTGAGATAGCAGTGCTTTATCGGTACTCGCATTGTGCCAATATGTACATATTTGAACAGTGACTGGAAAGGATTTGTCAAATTAGCAGCCTTATTCTCTCTCACATGGCAGAAAAAAGTTGTAGAGCTCTTCTGGGCCAAAATTTGACAGGTCTCACACAGGTAAAAGTCCTCACTAAATATTAATGTGAAGACGTGGCCTATTATGGGTCCTTTGGGCTAAGTGAAGGGAAAGAAATGAAAAAGAAGAGCAAAAATATATTCCAGTGCAAGCATGAAAAAAGAAAGTCAAATCAAACCCAGCAGGGTCACCACTAATTTCTGATTTTCTGATTACAAAGTGACAAATAGGGCAAGAGCAGGAGCATGAGTTACTTATGTCATAAGAATGCTGAGCGCAGGATGAGTCCACCAGGGAGAAGTGTCAGTTTTCACCTATGCAAACCCATTCAGCTTTCTGCAGTGAGGCAGACCCTTGTCTTACTTTGCTCTGTCCCTTGTTAACGTATCCTGTGAATGACTGGAAAGTTAAGCTGTAAGCTCCAATGGTTTTCAGCCTGTCTTGATTTGCAGACCCTATGAATTTATATGGGGGAAATATATCAAAATTAAGCACAGTGACAATAGGTGTGCCTGTGTCGGTCACTTTACAAAGACCCGTCAGTTCACAGACTCCCAAGGCTCCATGAATCACAGGCTGAAGACAAATACTATTCTTTGTGTCAAGCAAGCAGAGCAGATTCCCTGAATCACTTCTTGGCACTTGTGACTACACCAGAGTTTTGTTTTTCTTCAAGACACCTAAAGAATTTGACCCTGCAGAATGTGTGGTTGGCATGTATTAGGGAAGATGATTATTTTCTTTAATTGAAGTTAAATAGCCTTCTTCACTTTTTAAAAGAAACTACATATATATTTATATATATATATATATATATATATATGTATATAGGGCAAGTTTCTGAGATAAGGCCACTGAAAGCTGCTTATGAAGACACAAATAATTTTGACCTACTCAAGCAGTACTCTTTCTATAACATCACCTCATCTTTATGGAGAAGTATTCACCCTGCAGACAGTCAGAATGGAGCTGTTGTTTCTGCATAGACTGCCTTATAAACCTGTAGTCTGCTGCCATAAGCTATTTGAAAGAAGAAAAACAATGTTCTCCTTTGTACCTGAGCTCAAAACCAGAATGCCGTACCAAAAACAGTAACGAGGACTATAGAATGTCATGAACCTGATTTTAATCTTGTTCCTATTGTTCTCTATTTACACTAGTGTAAGTAAGATTATAATCAGGTTCACTTTCCTTTTACGCTAAAGTTTTTTAGAGTAAAGTTTTACAGTTTAACAACTCTGAAGCTTTTAGGTGTGTTAAATAACAGCAGCACTAGTCATATTTTTTAACGCATTTGGTATAAGAAGGGGGTTTTTCAAATTCAAGATTTGCATTTACTCAACGTCTTTTAGCTGAACTCACTGGAGGTTACACCACAGCATATACAGTCACTAATAATTTTTTAATCTTTTGTCACAGTGTCTCTGCTCTTCCTAGACACTAATTGCTTATTTTCACCAATTTTCAATTATCTTTTTTTTCCTGAAATTACTTTCAAGCACTCTAAAATAATGATTTTAGAAGAGGCGTGATACAGAGCAATGCTGTAATGTTTTCTAACATGGGAATATTAGTGTAATGACACTGGCTCCCTCATTGTGATCTTACAGTGGAATTTGAACTACTAACACTCAGCTTCAGCTGTGATCTTGCCATTTAGTACCACTATGCTCATAATCACTGAAGCAGTCTTTTGGTAAAGCACCAAGCCCAAACAAGAAGCGCTACGACTGACTGGCAAACTTTGTCCTCAGTCAAATTCAAACTCCAAAATTCCATCAGTGGGTGAAACAGGTCATCCAAATGCACGGGCATATTGTGAAAAGTCTTAGTCCTGAAAGACTGCGTGAAAGATGGCACAATGATGAAGGTAGATTATTCCATCTGAGAAGTGCAGCAGTTTGGATTCCCGGCAAAGCAAACCTTACTTTATTTATAAATAGAAAATGTGGTAGCAAATTCGCTGAAAAGGGGAAACACAGATGACAAAGTTTTCTGAATAAATGCTTTTATTAGGAACAGAAAGGAACAGTGAGCAGGATAGCAGGAAGAAGGGCTTAAAGTATTTAGAAAGTATGTTTACTAAAGCCATGCCATTCTGCACTGCACATCTGATAGCCTCTGGGTTTTTTGATAACGTAGTGGCCAAGTGTTTGAGGGTCAGGAATTAAGCAGCTTTCTGTTGACTGCCAGCCTGACTTCAGCTCCTCTCCACGATGGGCCCATCCCACTGAACGCACCACCAAGAGAACTGGCCAACAACAGGTAGAGAGGCAAGGTCTTTTAAGGGCACTCCTCAGGGGATTTGTTTGACTGCTTGGGTCAGATTTTAAGTAAAATCACATGATTACAGGTGTGTAAAATGATAACAAGGACACATTAGCAGACCAATGTTTAGCATGTGGTAACCACTTGATCGTCTGCCAAGTATTACCTTTAAGCAGTAGCCTGGAAGTAAGACCAAACATATTCTAGATTCCTTTTATTCCCTCATAAATATACGCCGGATTGGTCCAACAGAGTCCTCAGAATCTCCTTTTGTCAGCGCATCTGGGCATAAATTCGGTGAGAAATGACTATCTTTACAAGAAGGCAATGATGAGGCCTATAGGAAAGCTATGTATCATGGTTATTGATACATGGCAGCGCCTATAAAAACTGCAGTTTGAAGTAATCCTTCTAGGGCAATGGCACGCACAAATACTTTCATCATCAGAATGTAGTGTTTTGCTTGCAAATTTTGCTAGATTAACTTCTCTTCCAGGGGAAAATGATCCAGGGGAATGTGACTGATTTTGTGATTGGAAAAAGAGATTTTGTTTGGGAAAATCCACAAAGAAGGTGCTTTATATTAAGATAAAAATATCCTTTTTTCCCCAAAAAACTTATGTGAAAAGGATTGCACTGAATGAGTGGTCATTAAAAGATAACAGACAGACATAGCCCTGGCTGAACCACCAAGCCAGCTGCAACTCAATATTTACACCAAGTGTTTTTCAGGACTGGATTAAATACCAATTTAGGAATGAGAGGCAGTTTCAGCTGTGAACTAATGAGAAAAGCTAGGCTTTAAGGCAAGCCTATAAAAGAGGATGTGATTCAATTGGCTGGATAACAACAGAATCAGATAAAGTGTGAAGCATAAGTGAGGAAAAAAAAAACAGCACTCCCAAGGAAGCAGAAGAAAGAAATGATCAGTACCAAGGCTCAGATTAAGTGGATGCGATATACATGTGTAAAGTTAGTCAAGCAAAGTTCTAGAAAATATGAAAATTGGAGGACAATTCTGCACGGAAGGGGACAGTCAATAAGAATCCAGTGACAGAGACAGGGAAGATGCGGACCCAGTTTATGAATCTTTCTGTCATATGACAAACTGGATTTACACGCCTCATAAAACAGAAGCTACGACAGGACATAGTTAACACAGCTGGGGCTTCAAGTAAGGTATGGATAAATGGGAGTAATGTTCCAGACATGGTGTCACCAGGTACAAAAAAGGGGCATTGGGAGTGTTAATGGAATTTGCAGATTGCTGTCCTCAGGTCAGCACCACAAACCCAGCTTAGCTAGTTAATGATTAGAAATGACTACCTCCAGATGGCTGTCCTATCTCAACTGCAGCCTGAAATATATTGGTGGTCTCCATGCAGTTCCAGTTGGACAGGCACATGCAAAAGACCAGCATCAGCTGGATGCTGTGCTTGTGGTATCTCATGGATTTGTCCAGTCTCTTTGTGTACGTGCAGCAGCACTCCATGTTGGCCCTTTTTCCTTTCCTGTCTAGACATTTCTTCAGGTGAGGAAAACCTCTAGTCTAAGATTACAGAAGCAACAGAACCCAAAGATACAGAAACTAAAGAGATCAGGTAGCAAAATGACTAGAGAAAATATGCTACCATTACACATTACTCTAGTGTAGCCTAAACTACCGTAGTTTCCAGTCTAAAGTTTGGAGGATTGCATAAACACATGAAGCACTCATTGACTTCCTTCTTTTAGCAAACTGTAATAACTAGATACAAAGACATATAGCACAGTGGCATGCAAACAATCATTTATCTAGCAATCATTGATCAAGTAACTTACCACAGTTATAGCATCGTTCAGCAAAGATTCTCCAAACACCAGGATGTAAAGCTGCTCATTGACATGAATATTTTCAAAAACCGCCAACACTGCCACAGGATCCACAGCTGAAATGAGGCTACCAAAAAGCAAATTCTGCAGCAATGTGATATCAGTCAAACCAAACACACTGATCTGGCAAATTCCAAAAAGTGAAATTCCAATGCCAATAGCATTCCAGAGCGTGCCTACCACAGCATACCAGAATATGGTACCAAAGTTCTCAAAGAAAAGACGAGTTGGCATAAAATATCCAGCGTCGAGTACAATTGGTGGTAAAAGATACAAGAAAAAAACATCGCTGTTCATTACAGGTGGGGACTTCTCCTGTGCTCCAAAAATAATCCCACCAAGAAGCAATCCAACCAGAATAAGGAGACAGCTTTCAGGTACTATTGAGGGCAACTTGTGATAGAGATGAAAGCCTTCAAAGGAAATTCAAACACAAGAAAGTGAAATAGTTATTTGTACAGAATCCAAAAGACTACGCTGGATTCTGTTATCTTAGTCTCCACAGTATGCAAACAGTAATCAAAGGCCAATTTCATTTTCGTTGTGAAGACTGAAGTGGGCCACCAAAATAGGTCAAGATAAATTTATCAGTGAGAGTAGTTAGTTCAGTTAATTTAGTGGATAGTCCTTTCCTGTTAATAGCTAAGCTAGCTGGAGGAATTTTTTGCGTGGGCTCTGTTTGCAAAAGCTTTTTTTTTTCTTGTAATATGGGATCCTCCAGAAGCAGATTGCAAAGACTTTTCTAGTGCAGATTACATCTAGATAGGGGGGAAAAAATCATACTAACTACTCCTATCTCCATTCATAGCTTCACAAAGGAATTTAAAAAATACATTAATTTTGGTTTTAGGTGTCTTTTAGGTTTTCAAAGCTAGGGGAACGGGCATATCTGAGCAGCGCCCAGTGACCCACAATCACTTCCTCAGTGACCGTGAGGAAGCATTCTACAGACTCATCATTCTTTCAACATCAGTGAAGCCTCCAAAACTGCACGTTTTCCATTAAGTGATGGCAAATTGCAGCCTTTATTATTATGGTCATTGTTCTGTGTTATATGAATTATAGTAGTGTCAAGAACCTCTGTTAAAGAACTATGCAAAGTACTGAAAAAATAAATAAAAAAGATTCTGAATGAGGATTTAATTGTTAAATAGTCTATAGCCTATTAAAATTCTCTAAGCTATGCAGTTTTGATTTCAAGATTCCAATTAATTTTAGAAGTTGATTTTTCTTAACTGATAAAACAAGGATGATGTCTGTAATTGGTGAGAAAAATTTTAAAGGAAGTTACTCTGACCAGTCTAATGGAATGGTCAACCTTATGCACGAAGGTCACATTTCAGGTCCTGGAGATGCCAATCTTTTCCAGGCTCCTCCTTATCTATACTTAGCCCACATAATTATATAGAAAACTGTCCACACCCACAAGATCCTACAATTCCTGCCTAACTAAAAAGCATTTTAATTATTTTAAATGAGAGCCACACAGAAACACTGGGTGTGGTAATAACGGACGTCTATTTCAGTAAAACTATTTCAGTAAAAATCACACCCGTAGTCGAAACAGTTAAATAAGTGCAAACTTAGTATATTTCATACCTAGTTTTCCAATTTCAGTCTTTTGTATCTTGTGACACCTATTTTGTTAATTCTCCTTTCATCATAGATTTTGTCCATGAGAGAGAAAGACTAAGCTTATAATTAGGAAAAAAAAATGGTTAGGAAGGACTAAGGAGAGAGCTTTTTACATACAGACTATATATCTATTAAAGCGATCTTTAAAAGTAAGTAGCTTGAGCTGCATTTTTCCTTTACAGATGAATACAGACTATTTTTTTAATACTTGGAAATACAGCCTATGCGACTTCTTAGAAGGACTGCCAAATTCACCATCATCCTTCCAAAGAGGAATCACCAATATCCAGTTTGCTGTACGGGCAGAACAGGTAACGACCCTGGAGACATGAGAATTTACCGCTGCAGACCTGACTCTTCACCTTTCAACCACTTTCACTTAAATGTCTTAGGGCTTGTATTAGTTTCTCCTGCGGCAGGAGGCCAAAATTTCCAGCACTGTGATTGAAGTTTCTCCTGAGTAAGTAAGCAGGTTTTACTAAAAGAAAAGTTTTTAGAAGGTCTTCAATAATATATGAAAACATTTTCTCAGTAAAATTGAAGAGGTGATTTTTATTAATGCAGCTTTTCATGGAAACAAAAACATCCCAACCAGTTCTAATAAAAAGATTTGTTGATTATGAAAATAAAAAAAAAAAAAAATCCCATTACTTCCTTTCCTTCTTTACCAGTCACTATTCGGAAAGTTCAGACCCTCTCAGAGCCATTTGGGCTTTTCCATACCTGTAAAGGTAATGTGAAGGCTCCTGCTATGTTAAATGTGTTTTTTATCCATGTTAGCTGCACCAAAAGTCTTTAAAAAATTGCCTGACTCCATGAAAGGCATTCACAGGTGATCCTAGGGGATAAGCTGTGGTTTCCCACTTAAGGACAGAGAGCTGATAGAAGGGATCCAGTGTGCATTAAGTCAGGTAGAGATGCCCTGTAGGACAAGGGACATCATCCTAGCTCCACGGGATTCATAGCCGTGCGGTCAGGAGCACCAATACTGCTGAGAGGGAGAGCAGATCCGGGGCTGCAGACCTGCGCCAGGAACGTGGTTGCATTTCAACACAGGCTATCACGGTGTTAAACAGAGAGCAGCCCTGGGAGCAGAATCCCTATGCCACTCTGACCGTTATGCCGAATCCAACTCGGGACCACAGCTACTTTCAGCTCCTCTGACCCCTGGTTCTTGGACTCCTGACTATGCAGTGATCCAGTTTCAACAGCATGGAAGATGGTTTCCCTCAGGCCTTTGGACATTAGGACACTTGCCTAAAGTGCAAATGCAATAATCAGTTTAGAAGTCCTTAGAGTCCTGGGCTCCTGCTTCTGGGGTGAAATTCAGTAATATCTGATGCTGGTAATGCCACTGCCAGATACACTTCTGATGATATGTGAGTTTTCCAAGAGTATTCTCAGAGCTTAGGTGCTGAACAGTTTAAGCCTTTTTCGGGAGGTAACTGTAGGAAGGATATCAGCTCATGTTTCCAGAGGAAGCATTTCTAATCAGGCATTTGTGAATAAAGGCAGGAGTCACGGGAATTTGGATGAGTTAGGCAACATTTGGTAAACTTAGTAGCACGAGGATTAAGCAAAACTAGAGATAGACGGTCACACTGTCTTGAAACTATGGCATACTTTAAGTACACTGGATCCCACCTATACACTGGTAGAGTCCATCAACATATTAGTAACAGATCTTATTTATAGTATCATCACACAAGGTAAATAACTAGAGACAGTCAGAAAATAACAATTCATTTCAAGACATATTCTGAGGTTTCATAATGTGTTCTTGTTCTACGCGAGAATAAAAAGCACTGTCTTTCTAATGTCTTTGTGAAGACGTACCTTGTCAAAATGTTTTAAGTTCTGCTTAACAACTAACTGCAGGTTTTCCTTTCTCACGCTCTTTTGCTCTAAGCCTGGTCTATAGTGACCCCATCACAGCTAGGATCTGAGGAACATTTCAGATGAATCCTCTATAGAAACTAGCACCTGTTTGGAACATTTCAGCTTCAGTGAAACTATATTTCTGTGAAAACATATTGGTCCAAAAATGCTCCAATCAAGTAATAAAAAGGTGCTGTATGATATTTGTTTTCAGTATTCTTCACACACTGTGAGAGGTATTATTAAATTTGGCCATGCCTTCTGCGATCCTTGCAGTTAAAAAGAACTTAGGGCTAAATTCATGAAGGTTTGCAGTGCCACGTATACGTGTTCAGCACCTAGCCCCAGAGAGGAATTTGCAATGCCAGATTAAGCACCTAAATTTCCTGGGTAGTGCATGAGTCTGCTCGTGGATTTCATGCCACCTGGCAGGGCATGGGTAAGATGCCTACACTGCCCGGCACAAAATCCTGAAGAGAGGAATGTATCAGAGAATCCCAGGCCTATCCCAGGGCAATGCATAGTGAGACAGGCTGCAAAACCCCCTGCATCCCTTTGAATGCAGGTGAATGACCCACCCTCAGTAACAACATAGGAGTAGGATGCGGCAGAGACAACATTTCTACATCTCAGTGGTTAGAGAACTATCTATCTGGGCCATCTTTAATACAAGAGAGGGCATAAACGAGCGAAAAATTAACACTGTGGGAATGTGACCTAGGAGCAATGAGGGCCTGTCCTGGGAAGGTTTGCCTGATGCAGGGGCTGGATAAGGAAGTGCCACAGGAGCTCCAGGAGTAAGAACTGGGTGTTCCTAATTGCAGTCTCGGAGTCAGGGCCCCTGCAGTGAGGTGTGGTGAAGCTCAGTACTGCCACACCTAGGGCCTCTCTTGGATCTGGCCCTTATTGCTTATAGTGCACACTTAAAACAAGCAAGATAATGTCCTAGATTACTGACACCAGTTTTTGTTTGGTATAACTGAAAGGATCTAAAAATCAAATGCATTTCTCCTTATTTACACTGTTTGTTTATTTATTTTACTACAGTCAGCTTGGAAAATAAAGCCAAGTCTTTTTTTTTTTTTTTTTTACTTTTTAGATACCTATACACCAGCAAATTATTGTGATAGTTAGGACATATGCAATCCTGCAGAAACTTTATAATATCGTGTATGTATGTATGCGTGTTTAGATATTTTAAATGGCCTCGCTGAAATCTCTTATAAAACAAAACAGTTTCATTGGTCTTAGCTTATTCAAGGGTTCTTGCTATAATACCCAAACTCAGAACCTAGAGCTGTTTTACAATATTATTTTAATTTGGTTGAGATTAATTCTTTACAAAGCTCCATATGTTCTGGTTATAACAATTCATGATATATTTGGGTGTATAATAGATGAACTCTATCCTGATTCTGCAGATGCCTAAATATACACTCAAGAACAAGCAGGCAAATCTTAATGCATCTTTAATGCATTAAGATGCATGCATCTTTAAAGGATGCAACCTCCAATATTTCTGCAGAAGGTAATGAAGCTACAGGAAGCTACTTGGGGAGAGCATCTGGCTGCCGACCTTGACACTAGCTGTGATTGGAGGTGAGTTTCAAGTAAGAGTTTATGCAGAATCAGAACTACCTGACCACTAATCAGAACGTGACACAACCTATCTAAATGGCACAAGTGGAAGTCAAAGTTTTCAAGTTTTATCAAAGTATTTTATCAGAGTGAGTATGACCAAGTTTTCAGTGAAATCTGTGTTGCAAAACCAGACTTCTTGATCAGACAAGTGGAGTACTTGTTTACCTTTTCTTTAGTTCCCATGGCTTTATTCCTCAGGTTAAGACTATCTTCTAGCTAAAGAGCTACATCATTCATCATCTGTGGAGATTTTTTTTACTGATTTTTAGATAGATCTCTAGCATGCCTTTATCTGACTTTCTTTAGATCATTATATTAGACTCATCCTCTCAGTCTGGGACATAGAAGTCTAATTAAAAACACTATATATATATAAACCACACAAAATGCACAGAAACTATGCAATACAAATATTTTCCACATGAGGGAATAAGTGGCCTTTCTTACTCATTTAGTTTTGTATTTTCTTTTTTCCTTTCACAGGACACAAGTGACTGGTGGGAAAGTAAAATGAGGAGGCTTAGTCTACCCTCGTTAATTTTTGCTTTCCATCGATTCGTTGCTATATTATGGAACTGTCATTATATCCGGCGTTATTTTAAGAAAAAGAAAAAAGTGCTTAAATGACAGTAGGGAAAAGCCTGTCATGCGCTCAGTAAACTCTCGCTAATAATTCGGCATGTGTGCTTTGCTTTAAGGGCAGCAAGTAATCTCCTTTCCTCGCTTGCTCTACCCTTCCCGAGCTCTTTTCCCAGCCCAGTCACGCCCGGGCATCACCTCAAGCACGGCGAGGCCGTGGAGCGCATCCCCCCCCGCGG